GGGGGCGGCTGAAAACAACTACTCGGTCAAGACCGAGCGCGGGCTTCGGCGTTGGTTAACCAGCGGTCTCTGACGCTGCCCCTGCGCTTAAGGGGAGAGAGAACTTCTTTTAGGTACTGAAAATACAGTTTAGGTTAAGATGCGGAAAACTGTTAACTTTGTTGCGATCCTTTACGTAAGAAACACTGGCGTGGGGCCGCTCATAGCAGTTCTAAAAACGCAACTGCGCTGCTCAGAAAAAGCATTTTGCAGCCTACCCGCGAGCTGTGATGTGCCATAATTGGTTGCACATGTCTTTTTTTTTTTTTTTTCTTCTTCCCCCGAAGTGAATTCTTTCTACAGTGTCCTATTTCAATCTTACACATGCTACAAGGGAATTTTGGGAGTTTTCAGTTTAAGAAGCTGGAGAATATAAATATCATCCTAAACACTGCATGCCAGAGTAACGTTATTTACTCTCTTGTTAGTCTTACGAGCTAGAAATTGCTATCTCCTCCCTTCCCATTCATATATATATATATAACATGGGGAGTTTGAGCACAAAGGAGACTGGAAACTATCCAAGAGTGTACGACGTATCTGTAATTTGATCTCGGATATCCTGAATATTCACCTAGTAATCTCATCCCTGACCCACTCTCTCAGGCTTAGGAGCAGACTAAAATGTTGCTAGCGTGAGTATCTGAAGGTAAACATCAGGCACGAGCAAAACATGCAGCCTGCTTTGAGGGTGCATTCGGGAATATGTAACTTGTGTAGGCACTGGGATGCCTGGGAATGGATGCCAGGGTACGGAGGAGAGAATTCACAGGGAGGCAACCCGTACTTTTCTACCACGCTTGGGGAGAACAATCCTTGCACTGCTTTACGCAGCTCCATTTCATGCAAATCGGGAAAGGTTGTTTCTGACTGATTCAGACAACAGAGCAGTAGTCATTAATCAGCTGAGCTTCATTCTTCTGTGATGCCACTGGGCTTCCGCTCTTGCAAATTTTTTCCATGTGTGCCGTGGCTAACTCTGGTCTGATTGTACTTTTACTCCATTAGTTTAATATGGGAAGGGAGGAGAAAACAAAACATAGCTTAGAAAGCTTACTTTCAGCTCACTGAAATGTAATCACCATTTCAAAGACACAAAGAGCAAGATCCCACAACTTTTTTGCTCTGGCCTATTTTAGAGCATAGGGTCTGAATCGCACATGAAATCGTGAAGGCTGAGTTATCTTACATTGATTTTGGCCAGCTTTTTCTGTATGGTTGATGTATCTCCAGATGTGTCTGACCAGCGGTGCAGCTCTTCCTTCGCAGAATGGAGCCAGTCTGTGAATTCATGCACAGCATCAACGTATAGCAAATGATCCTTCACTATGTCTTCCACTTTCCTCATTTTCTCCTATCATTCAGATGGAAAAAAAAAAAACAAAAAGACCATTAAAGTGCAGAAATACTGTCCCGGCTTTAAGCACACTGTGGTACAGGGTGCGGGTCTGACTCTATAGCACCCCTTTGAATGCTGAATACAGCACAGCTTATAGCAGCAGAACACAGCGGTACACTGCACAAGGCTTGGGTTGGGTTGGTCTGGACAGGCATGTTTTGCTGGAGCAAAAGATGAAGAAGCCTTCTGAAAATGCATGCAAAAATGTACTTTAACACATCCTTTAACACAAATCTATCGTTTAATAGATGTCAAAGCTGCAGCTGTGCAATTCTGGCGTGCTTTTCCCAATACCCCCTGGAGAGAGTTTTAAAGATCACCCATGATCCATCCCAGGGAGCAGCACGCTGCCAGAAACATAGCCCTTATTTAGAAGATCCAAGTATCTATAAATGCTAAGCAGAGTCACAGAGATGTCTCATACGAAAACGACAAAGGAGGACTTCTACTGTTCAAAAGTGCAGAGGGTTCTTATGGTGCTGAGTCCCATTTTAACCATCAGATCAGAAGCAGTGGCTGTCCCCAGCCACCTGCCCTGGAGGATGCTTTCCCTGACACAGACAAACAATGGCTTCATGGCTCCATCTTAGCTTTTTGATGTAAGCTTAAAGTGAGGCCAGTTTACCTTACTCTGAAAAGGCAAAATAGTGCACTGGTCTCGATTTGGCTTTGTTTTAACTGAGTAGAATTGGTCTTATATTCTTGTGAGCTACCACTCAGGAATGTTTATCAAAACTAACCAAAAGTGACCTGAGCTAATCAAATAACTTTCTACTCCTGTGTAGGTACTCTGGGTCTAAGCGTCCTTAAATCAGTTTCAAACTAAACCACTTCCTTATGAGTTAAACTCCAGTCATTTTTAATCTTGAATAATTCAACATTCAAATAATGCTTTTAAAAATTAAGTTGGATTAATAAGCCCTACTGTTCCCTCTGAAAATAATCATCATAATTTCTCAGAATGTGTCAGACCAACTAGACAATGGCAGGTTACTAGCTTAACAAAGATGACATAAAGTAAATCCTTGAGTTTTTACATCTTAGTGCATTTTATGCAACAACAGAGTAAGAAAGTGTCCACTTGTGCCTGACTCTAAACAAAATAGATAGCTCCCTAGGGAAACGAAAAAGCCCCAAGAAAGGCAATCACACACCTCTCTACTTTGCTCACACCAAAATATAGCACCAGTAGGGAGGGAGAGTGGAGGTAAAGTGCAACTTCAGTTGGTCTCTTCTGGTGGCGATGGCTTCTACCAGTTGCACTCAGTGCTGTTCTCTCCCAAAGGAAAGACTGCAAAGCTTAATTAAATTTATTGATGCATATTGGTTTTAGGAGAGCACTGCCACACTCACTTATGATACTCTTTTCACACAAGTTTAAAACCATTGTATTGAGTGAGTCAGTAATCTTTGTATTGCTCCAGATTTAAAGCCACTGAAAGAAGTGGAGTTATATGAGGATGAAACTGATTGTCTAGAAACCAGATTCATAGCTTACTATTTCCAGTAAAAAAGAGTGCTGAAGTTCATCATAAAACCAAAAGTGTGTGATTAGATGGTAATTACACACTAGATACATCTGAGAGGGCTCTAATATTGGGGAGAGAGAGCTGGGACTCTCTAGCCTGGAGAAGAGAAGGCTGAGGGGAGACCTTATTAATACTTACAAGTATCTAAAGGGTGGGTTGAAGGAGGAGGGAGCCACACTCTTCTCGGTGGTTTCCAGTGACAGGACGAGGGGCAATGGGCACAAGTTGGAACATAGGAAGTTCCGTTCAAACACAAGAAAAAACTTCTTTACAGTGAGGGTGACAGAGCACTGGCTCAGTCTGCCCAGGGAGGTGGTGGAGTCCCCTTCTCTGGAGATTTTCAAGACCTGCCTGGATGCAGTCCTGAGAAATGTGCTCTGGGCAATCCTGCTTTAGCAGGGGAGTTGGACTAGATGATCTCTAGAGGTCCCTTCCAACTCTGAAAATTCTGTGATTCTGTAATATCTACAGTCTATGTTTAAAGCAATAAAAAAAATGACAATAATAGTATATCTTATCCCCAAAATTAAAAAAAAAAAAAAAATCCAAACTACATGATTCTACATAATGACTTTCCTTATCAAATTTAGTAAGAAAAATGCAGATTTTTACGAAAGAAGTAAATTCATATGCCCTAGTTTTGACATTTTTCCCACGAGATAATTTGTTAGATCTTCCACTCATTTTTTACCCTGGTACTATTTTTATATAGACTGCAGATTAATTACCTGCAGGCCATCCGCACTATTCTCAATCACCCTTCCATCAGATTACTGAATTTATATACAGCGCTTACTTCAGTCTCACATTAGCCTGTTATTGTGTGGCCTCTTCCTGATGCAAACTTTCCCATTAGCTGTGAAGGCGGAGACTCTAACTCAGAGCTCATGTCACTGTCATGATCTGGTTGGCAGAAGGTCTCAGTGAGCTCACATATCTTTCCTTAGAAACCAAACTGAATACCTTTATAGCATGTGCAGTGCCTAGTGGCTTGAAAAACCACAAAATATGGGCATATATCTTTCTGACAATAGGATTTATCTTTCTGACAATACGTTTTCTGCTCAGGGAGGCATTTCATTCTTCCTGTTCTAAGGGAAAAAAAAGTTGTAGGAATGCATGTAAAATAATTACATTAAAATAAATCTGGAAGAATGTCAGAAATATTGTTGTATATATGAAACTAGGAATAAAATATATGCCCTTCACTTTTCAAAAATCATAACCGTACCGATTTCAATTCCCAATACCTATTTTGCATTCCAGTGAATTTTTGTAAACTACATCCAACTCTTTTGTTAGATTCAACCATAACAAAATGCAAAACTATTCAATCACAGTCAATCCTTCAGTTACTAAAAAAATTATGAAAATCAAAATTTTAGCCTCATATACAGATGTTTAAATATTTTACTTACTTGAAATAGAGACCTTTGCCTTTATCTTACCTTGGCTACTGTTGTGATGTCATTAAACTGTGTTTTTAGTTCTTCTTGAGCTGCTTCTCCAAAAGAATCATCCTCTGTTTTTTCATACAGTTCCACAGCTTTTTCAATGAGTTGCTGTAAATCACCAGAGTGATCCTCTATCTCAGAAACAATAGCCTGGAAGTGGTCCAGCTGAGCAAACTTCTCCTTCAGACCAATCTGTGGTTCTAAAGGCTGTTCCACTTCGTGATCCAGTTTCTCTAACCACTGCTCCAGCTGGTTTTTCCTTTCCAGATATTCATTCCACTGGCTAATGACAGACTCTAGGCAGCTTACATTAAAAGAAACATACACAGTACACATGAGAACTTTTGAAAAGTCTGAAAAAAAGAGTCTCCTTATACCTTAATTGTTACACTGTCTGTAGCCATGTATAATATGTTTAGGATATGCTTTTTCCTCCATCTTGCTTTAGTTTTCTGTGTCAACTTAAATCCAAGCTATTTTAGAATTTCTGTGTTCTTTGGGCTACTGCATATAACCTGATACAACTGCTTCCCTATTACAGGTTACATGAGCAATCTGTCTGTCTCAGACTAATGAAAATCACATTTCAGTATCTGTCCAGCAAAGTAAAATATAGAGCATTACTGGAGTTCTTTATGATCAGAGTAGAAAAATATACAGCAGCCTATGAAAGTATTGACAATGAAGAGATATTCTGGCAAGTTTTGGAAGAAAAAATCAATTACATATAGCCCCATTTACAATTTATAAGAAATACTTTCTTCTGTTATATATTGCTCCTCCTAGCAGATCTCCGAATTTCTCTGGGATTTGTTTTGAGGAATGTAATTCTCATTCCACTGGACTTAATGATAGACATGAGTAAGTAAGAAAGTGGCACCACTTCCAGTTGAAAAAACTCCAATTTACCTGTATCATACCTCCCACCATTGACAGCTGATATTTAGGACCCAGTTACGCTAGCACTCAGATTACCTGCAATACAGATCTATGACCTTTCTGAGGCAGATCTATGAGTTTTCTTATGCAGTGAAAACTTTGTTTTCATCAGAGAACTAAGGAAGTAGGATCATGCAGAAGTTCACCAAGGGCCCATTTCTACTCAGTAATGACTGGGATGATGGAACAGAGAGTGCTTGTAAAACCCACAGATGAAAGCAACCAGGGAGCGGCTGCAGCTAGTTGGATGACAGGATTTAAATGTCAGATGTTCTTAAAAGGAATTTTAAAAAGATGGAATTTGATGATGAAAATAATGCTTTACTTAGGAAGGAGAAATCAGATATACCAATACAAACTTGGGGATAACTGTCAAGGCTTAATACTGTGGAAAAGTATCTGGAGACAGAAGAGGGTAAAGAAGTAAACAAAATTCAACGATATGATACTGTTGGAAAGCAAGGAAAATCTCATTCTGGAGTGGATTAAGAAGAGTGTTGTATGAAGGAAATGGAAAGTACTGATACTCTATTCAGAATTAATAAGGACTCAAATGTAGTAAGAGGTCAGCCTGTTTTCAGTTATTATCTTTTAAGAATAATGTAGACAAAATAGTGATAGTCTGCAACCTACTGAAAAAGAAACAAGGATGAAAGAGGTCCAGAAAGTATAAGTACTGAGTAAATGAGAAACACCAGTCTGCCTAGATCATAGATGATGGAGGCCTTCAAATACATAAAATGTTCTCACACTGGCAATAAGGAAACATTTCAATTTCTACCAAGGTTAAGGCAAGAACAAATCATCTTACTTTGCAAGAGAGATGCTTTGGAGTGGATATTAGGATTTATTTTTAATGAAAAAACATAACGAAGAAACATAATGAGAAACTTTCTTAGAGTTTTGTAAGGAAAAGGTAGATAAATATCTGTTAGATGTTCTTGGTCCTGCCCAGTACAGGTTCAATAACTCAGAAAGCCCTTTCTAGCTTTCCCTCTGTGTGAATTTATATGATTTCTAATTATTTTTAAATTACCATCCATTACCATCTCATATGCAATGGGATTCATCTGATAGGGTCAAATCCTCTTTTTATAGAAGGATGTACTTTTTTAGGCAATTTTTATTCTCTCTGATGATATAACTTTCCCCTCGCATACCAGTAATGAATGAATGGATTCCTATGTGCTGTAAGGTACCACTATTTGCAAGCAAAGATAACAGGGTCTGACCTGTGTTTTCCAGGGATTTTTACCTCTGCCAGTTCACTGAGGTGCTGATGATGTCATTCCATACATCCTTCAGTGTCTGAAGCTCGGTTTGTATCACCTTTTGTCCTTCCTCATTGCTGCTTCTAAGTGCTTGCTCTCCTTTGCCAATGGCCATGTTCAGTTTAACTTCACCATCCCCTTTGAGTAAGAGGATCTCCTGTGAGGCAAAGGAAGTCAAAATATCAAATGCAACCTGCTGAGAGGTGAAAGCTGTTATTCTTTCAACAGTGGACACCACCTTCTATGAGCTCATTTATCCTTGACAGCCATGCCCAGGCACCTTTTCTTGTAAGTGCCTGTCCCTTGCTATGTAGAAATGATCCAGCAGTTTTTCCCACAGCCATACATGTATTTCACTGCATTGCTCATCCTAAAATATAGCTCACATTGCAGTAAACAATGAGTAGGTCAAGCACTGTGCAGAAATGCAGCACCACATAGCTAGAAGATATCTCAGGAAAGCCCATGGCTTCCTAACAGAAGCTTGTCTAACCTGTTCCTGAAGACCTCCTGTGACAGACATGTCACACCCTCTCTGTGTCAATTATTTCAAGGCTTCCCCTCCATTAGAGAGCTTTTGTGGACCCCAATACACATTTTCATAGTTCATTATTTTTTATTAAATGTAATACCTGGCACCTGTCTCCGTTAATCTTCATTCTGTTTTTCATACTGCAGCTCCTAATTTGTCAAGATCACCTTAAATTCTAATCCTCTCGTTCATAAACATAGGAAGAACAAAATATAAAAAATATTCATTTTCAACTGATGTGGCCTACACCCAATGTTAATCTTGATGCGTAATCTCTAGTTGTATCCTTCGTTACCTGAATTTGTGTCAGTCGTCTCTCTAGTGTGGCTTTGCTACCAACAGTGCTCTCTGATGATGCCAGTTTATCTTGAACCTCTTTCACCCATGACCACATACTCTGTAATGCCTCCTCCAAAGTGAGATGCTCTTGGAGTGCAAGCTGACACATTCGTAGCTTCTCCTTGACATTTTTGACCATATTTTGGTAATTGGTGAGATGTTGAGAGGCCAGACGCACTTCTCTCCCTGCACCATGTCCTACTTCATTTAAAGCCTGTGCCATTTGGGACAGCTTATCAAAAGATTCCCTGAAAGAAAATATTGAGACTGAAAATCAGTTTCAGAAAACATAATACTGTTAAAGCAATTATCAGAAATTACGAAGGTTGCTGACATAATCTCCTACTCCACCAGTGGCAGAGTTCAGAGTTAACAGAAAAATTAGCTGGGAGTGAATGAAAAGAAATATAAGCAGTATGTATTGATTAATATCTTTACTTGTGTACAGTGCCATTTCTTGCAGATTTTGGTGCTCAAAATGATCACACTGAAATGTTCGTGTTGCCCATTTGAATTAAAAGCTAACTTAATTTTCTTTTCAGCTGTCAGACTTTCCAGTTCTATATGAACTGCTACCTTTTTTGTACCTGTCAAAGCTTCTGAGAAGTTTATAGTCTTTGACAGGTAGGAAGACATGCTGGAAAGGTCAGGCCATTTGTCCAGGATTAGACACTGACTCCAGCATTCAGTACAAGGGTCAGGAAAAGGGATTAAAACTCTGGGTTTGTACAGCCTCAGTTAATCACAATCTACGGGATCACCCTTGCCGATACCCTGTGATTACAGGAAATTTGCATCAGACTAAAACATCTTGCATCAGTCTCAAGGGGATAGGTAGAGACTGGGTGTTTCCTTTTAGCGTGCTGTGAGGCTTGAACAACTCACTACTATTTCTGTTCTGTTTCCACCAACATAATAATAAAAAAAAAGAATTTGAAAAACCACTGTGTACTAAAAAAAGCAATTACTTCATCATCCGTTGGCTAAGTCTGAATTCTAGAAAGATTTCACAGCCAATGTGGATGTTATTTGAGCTCTTTTATAAAGTTAGCTATATGGGAAAGGGATTCTGTTAACCCATTTGGATCTGAGTGTTGCAGAACAGAAAAAAAGAAAATTTTAAAATGGATATAATGATAAGCATCATTTTTACTACTGCTTTTACAAGCAATATTTTAAGAGGTTTTTTTTTAAGAAGATATTTTTAAGTTTCAATTTATCAATGAAGTAAGATAAGCTTTTCTTAATGAGAAATGTATTAACGTCAAATTTTGGAGTTGGCTTCAAATTCCAATTTTCTTAAAACTGGAAGTATCCGGATTCAACCTCTTTTCACAGAGTATGTTGCAACGCCTTTCTCTATCTTTCACAAACACACTTTACCCCCAGCAGTTTAGTTTCACTGTTGCTTTTGCAGAAGAAAAAAGTGAGTGCATTTTAGGAAATGTATTTCATACTACCTTGAATGCAGTAACTCTTCCAGGAACTTCTCCACTTTCTGTACCTCTTTTTTCTTCTCAGGAATAAGCTGTTTGCACTCTCCTAATGCTTCTGTGCTTATTCTTTCTTCCATGTCATGTATCCACAAGCCAAGTTTCTTGTGCTGATCTTCAAAGCTACAGAACAGATAAATACTCCCTTAAAAATACTTCTCAGGTGGAGTAAAGTTAGTTGGAAGTTAACTCAGTTCTTTCAGTATCCACAAGACCAGGAAAATAAAGCTACGTATCATTTTCATACTTCAAGAATAAGAGTAGTACACAAAACATAATTCCACAGTGACTACTAATCTAAAAATATTCAGTAACTCTCTAAAAATGTTCAGCAAAATCATGGGAACTACAGTGAGAAAAAAGCCTCCAGAATTTAAAGTGACAGTGCTTTTATTTATTACTAGATTCAATAAAGGCAGACCAAAAGAAAGCTTTTTCCAAATCCTTATAATGATTTAGTCTAAAGTTAAAAAATGGGTAAAAATGGGTTTTTACTCAGTGTTGACACTTAGAACACCTAAAGTGTTGGGCTTTCAGTTTCTCCAACAGATTGTAACTGGAATGTCAAGCACTGAGAACTCAGCAAACTTCCTTATGTGAAGGCACATCATCGCATCTTGCTGTTTTACCCATTACTGCTACACTAACTTTGCTTTCAATTAGCAACAGTTTTGAATCTAGTTATACCTAAAAATATTTGAACTTCTAAAATTCTAGCCCCAAGTAATAATTTAAGAGTGGTTTTTTATGAGGTCCTTAGGAAATATGTCCGTCTGGAATGGGATAGGACAGAAGCATGCTATGTAAAAAGCGTACTATCTTCAAACCCCAGGGCAGAACTTGAAAATTCATCACACCTTTTCCTTCCAGGAAATTGCATTTAAATTACTGAGATCCCAACTGCTGATTTGGGATTGCATGAGCTACACAGAACTTCCGCATATATGATCCTGACCTTCCATTCTTGAACCAAATCAAGCAAGACCTGTTGCTTTGTTTTCAGCAGAGAACTTCATTTTCTTGTAACTATTTCCAGAGGAAAAAGCAAACAGGACTTGAGTAACTGGAAATAATTTCAAATTCTGCCCTGTATTTCTGCAGCCAGACAATTTCATGCAGTCCATCTTTGATTGCTGGTATTACTCACCTTCCCAGGTGTGAGGCACAAGCTTCCAGAGCCTTCTTATCATTCAGACACTGGTTGAGGAATTCCTGGAAGTTCTGGTTAGACTTCGCTATTTGCTCCTGAATATGGCTCACAACTGGTTTGGGTAAGCAAGCATACAAACTTTCTCCTTCCTTGCAGGCAGCATCTAACTTGTTCTGTCCCTCACTAACAGAATCCAGCACACTCTGTGTAATGAAATAATACAGTTTAAACATGCATGATTTCATAACTAAAGATAAGCAATATTTCTGTTAGAAGTGGTCAGATTTCCCCAACAAGACGAGAGCCATGTCTAGCTATGGAAAAAAATCTAAAAGATAGTCCAAATAAAATTTTATTAAGTGGTGGTACAATTCATGGAGCTCTATTTTTCTATTTCTAAACCACAGACAGAAATCAATTTTTCTATTTTGTCCCAAGGTCTTTCTCTGGACAGTTTAGTCACGTCCTGAAGATGTTATACAACTCGGGAATCAGGGCTGTTTTCAGTTGGTGTCTCCTATTTGTGTTCTGTCCCCTCAAAAATCTACACAGATAAGCTTTGACAGATTGGTGTGAAGACTTTATAGATTGAGAGACTGAATGAGACTGAATGAATAAGACTGAAAGATTGAATAAGCAATAATGTAAGAAAAGGAAAATAAGAGTAAGAAGGCAAAAAAGGAAAAAAAGATAAAAATCAGAAACAAGAACACTTTAGTTACACATAAACCTTCCAGAAATTAAATTCTGATCTCAGAAGAGTGGACACAGTTTCCACTGTATTCCCTCTACAGTACGTATTGCTGTCTTGAACCATTCTTACATTACCTTTTTGGAAACAAAAACAATGAATATGATAGTGATATGATTGGATACATATAGTTAATTGCTAATTACTGGTTTTTAATTTGTTCACTATACCTGCAAATCATGTAGTTTTGCCTCTATGACTTTGCTGTCGCCAGACCTGTCAGATGATTCTTTTACTGCAGCCTTCACACCAGAAAACCATTCCTGGAATTCTTGCATAGAATCTTATTTAATAAAAAAGTAGAGAGAAGAGAATATTTTTTAGGCAGCAGCATTATCCACAATATTATACAGCTGTTTTCCACAATTATTTTATCCTTCAGGAACAGTCTAAAAGCTAAAAGGATGAGTCTCATTGCCTTCAATGACCTTGGAAGTGGGATTCATTTCACAAAAAGTTAGACATTTCCACTGTAAACATCCAAATTTGAACAGTCACACTAGTCTCTCCTTTATAGTCAATGGGAAAAGACAGGCATTTTCAGTCTATGATACATCCCAATTTAATGTTAGATAATATCTATATTAATATCTTAATACATAAGATTAAAAATTGCCTGCTTCTCTCCACTGACTATCCAGGGAGCCCAGGAAATGCTTCAGGTGGGGACTTTTAACATCATGAACATCTCCATTTGGTTATACGTGTATTTTTATGGCAAATAACACAAAGTGTATGTATGCAATAGAGATGTATACTAAGAGTGGAGAAAGAGGTTGTGCTGAGCTTGGCTTTCATGCAATATTACATGTTTAAAGTTGAATTCTGTTTTTGTAAAATGCTTTGTTTCGTAGCAGTTATCAAATGAACAATTGGTAACAGGACTTTTAGAAAGGCTCCATACAAAAATAAGGTTGTGATTGCGAGTGACATCACTGGAAACTCTGGCAGACTGCAGAATGATTCATGGCTGCGGGCTAACGGCTCATATTAACAGCCTGAAGACTCACGGAGGAAATGTTTTTCCAAGGACTCTTGCAGGCTGGCCTGTGTTCTGGAACAGAGCAGATTCACAGCTTCATACTTCTTTATTAACGAAGTGACAGTGCCACCAAGAGTTTCCAGCTCTACAGAATGGTATTTGCGACACAGGCTGTTAAGGTTCTCACGGGTTGAGTCAATGCTGCTCTGCTGAAGCTGAAGGTCCTTTTGTGTTTCCTGAAAATGAAGTTACAACACAAATATGACATTTGTAAAGAAACAAAAGAGCCCTCTCTTTTTCTCAAGCATTTCTGCTCCTCCCATGAGCTCTTTCCTTCTGTGGTCTATTGCAAGCTGTAGACACAATGAAGGGAAGAAGTACTGAATCATGTTTACTGAATCTTCCAAGTGAGATGAATCCTTGAAACTAAAGAGCCATCACAGAATTGTGAAAAATGCTGCTTCTCATGGTTTACTACTCTATTGAAAAATAAATAAATTTCAAGGCTTATTGAGCAGCAATAATTATTTTCAGCACATTCTGAAGGTACACGCGAGATGCAATACGACACTGGTGTTTGGTGAGACTTCTGAATGAAAGGGAGTTTTCATCTGACTAGAGGGGAATGTTTGTTTGAAAATGAAATTTAAATTGGCTAGTATAACAACATTAACATGTACTCACAGTGAAAAAATCTCTGTGTGGTTTGTCATGTGCACAATCATGCAATCAAGAGAGCTCTAGGATGTAGACAGAAGAATTGCTATATATGAGGACTGAGGAGGACTTCTGAGGTAGAAGTTTGTGTTAAAATTGAGTTCAGTCCAGGGTCTTTTACTGTGATGAGTTTTAAGTTCGTAACTTGTATTGCAAGGGAATCAATGGACTTGTAAACATGCTGGAGTAATGATTGATAAATTCAATGTTACAAAACCGGTTCTTGTCACAACAAAGACCATATTATTCCTTATAAGTTTCTAAAAAGTTTGTCTAAAGTTAATAGATCAGAACTTTTGTTCATTGGTGAACTTCTTAAAGAGCATCACTGTATTATTTGCTAATAGTCTAGAAGCTGTGCAGGAGATACATATTTTTTATCAAATGGAAATTAAGTATAAATTAAAATAAGCAAAAACTCAGATAAAAACCCAAAGAACACTGCATAAGAAAAAGCATATTCATTTTCTTCATCACCGACCTTCACTTTATTTAGAGCCTCAGGATCCAGGTTACACGCACAGTTTAACAGTGTCTCTTCCACTGTTGTTAACCAGTCTGTCACCTGATCAATAAGCTTCTGTAACTGCATCTTCTGAGTACTGAAATCTTTCAGTGTCTCTTTTGCTGTCTCTGACATTTCTTTGGCATGTTCCAACTTCTGCCTCAAATCTGATTCTATAAACTAAAAGCAAAATGTTATGTATTAAAGCATTTAAATAAAGCATTTCTTATAGTGAATGTTTACGAAAAAATGGAAGGTAGTAAAGTGACACACAATGATAATTTTTCTCTCTTTAAATCCGTAACTAAAGATACTTACATAAATAAAAATATCAGCCATTTAGGATTAAGTCCTAGATATACAGTAATCCAAAGAAGGGATCCTAACTTATAAAAAGCCAGATTGCAAACTGTGGACGCTATTACCCATTTCTGAAAAATTAAACAGTTGATCTTTTTCCTTTAGCAATTTGCCATATATACAGAACATGACCTAAACACAACTAGCTCCATAAAAAAAAATATCAATTGGTGAGACTTAAAAGCAGTGAGGTTTAAAGTTTCTCAGCGTAAGGCACATTAAAATTGAAGACAATACAAAAATAAGTTAGAATATTGCCGATTAACCTGTTCAAAGACAGCAATATGTGAAATTACAGTAGACGTTAGCTGTGCACGAATTACTGATAAAAAGTAAATCAAGTCCGTCATAATAGGGTAAATTTATAAATGAGCGATTACTGAAAATTTTGTTAAGGAATTGTTCCTGTTCTTATGATATGAGCTGATCATACTGTAGTTTACTTATTTAGCATTTGAATGTTGGCAAATAATTTGGGGATTTATTTTTAGTTTGTGAGGCTTTATTTTCAAATTTGCATTTATGTATCAACTACAATTATTTTATTGTAAGTATGATCATTGTTTTTATTTCATTTATCGTATTTAGTAGCTGGAAATAGTATTTTATTTATACAATATTATTTATACAGTTATTTTATTGTAAGTATGACCTATTGTTTTTATTTTATTTATCGTATTTAGTAGCTGGAAATAGGTGTGTGTTTGTTAAAAGTGATATTCGGCAAAATAATTTGCTCTAAGTTTTGCTCTGTAAGTGGACAGATATTTATTATGAACCATATGATTAAACCTGAATTTTCTGAACCTCTCATGTAAACAAAACAATTTGGGAGAACATAAGCACTCCCATATAATTTGCAAATTTTTATACTATAGGGTTCTTGACTCATATCTGATTTCTAATTTAGGCTTATGTGTACAGTCATGGCAAAATGTGGACAAGGCTTGAGTGTTATTAAGTTCTGTTAAAATCTGATAAATGGTTTTGAAATAAATATCTATTGAGATATCTCCCTGCCTGTGGAAATGACAGAAGTCATCTTATCTTTTAAAACTTCAGACAATGAAAGCGAATAATCTCATATACCAATTTCCATTTGAAATCAAACATCCGAAATAATCAAACTTTCTTTTTGCATCTGCCCTAGAACATAAATAACACGGACCCAGCCAATCATAAAGTTCAACAGCTCACCTGCAGGGTCTGTATTTTATCAGTCTCTTGTAACAGCTAGTTCAGCACACTAATTCCTGTCCACTAAAGAATACTTTTGGTTTGATAAAGCAAATGAACATACTTTACTGCATTATAATTCTTTCAAAGAGGCAAACTGGGTATGCAGTCACATGTGATGTGGCTTAATGTTGAGCAGTATAGAGAGTATCATCTGTCTCCTATCAGCTACCTTATAAACTATTCACTCTATTTCACTCTATTTATTAAAAAAAAAAACTTTTGCAACTCTAAACTTCAATTACTTTCTGGCATACTTTTTTCAGAAAAAAATCAAACTAAAGAAATATGAACAAAGAATACTTCTGATACATATAAATAATGCTGTATCTGTCCCTTTGAAAGAAAAAGGCAGTACAGGAGAGACAGAAATTTCAGGAGGAGTTTCTTCTTAGTCATTTGAGCACAGTCTGTGATTACCAAGATCTTTATTTTACCTGGAGATCTGCAGGAGGCTCTTGACTATGGGTCAGTTCTTTGAGATCTGAAATCTTGGAACTAAGCTGCTCCAACTTCAGTTCCTTATCCTTGACTTCAGACTGTAAAAGAGATGTGGTCAAAGTTTCATACCAAACTACAAGAGGGTTTTAGACCTTCAGAAGGATTCTCCAACAATTGCAAAAATGGAAGAAAAAGTAAACAAAGTTTAGCAGCCAGGGGGAACACACTTGTTCCATTAGTTTTCTTCTCTAAAAATCTCCCATCTCTTTTCCTTTATTAGAGTCAGTTCAGAGATTTTTTTTTCCCTCCATTAAAATAACCACACACATTTTTAGCACTTAAAATGCACTAACAGCTTTAGTTTCTTAAAACAGGCTGAATAAAGATGGGAATGTCATTGTTTATTCGACTGGAAAAATCTACTGTGGTTGTTAGGTTCCACTTAATGGCATGCAGAGTATAATACATGTGGTCTCTGTTTTTTATTACAAGGAAGTGAGCTCTCAGAAAAAAAATTAGACACAAAAATAAATTTTAACCTCAAAAGGGAACTTAAAAATGCTGCTATATATACACTGATATATCTGGACATTTTATTTATTGTGTATTTATCTGCCCTGAGTGGTATAAGTTCAAGTGGCCCCAGAAGAATCCTCAGGGGGTATTTTGTGCTAGGGAGTATATAACATTAGGTGACTGATCAAGAGAGGGACCACTGCTATGGACCGTATAAAAGGTACACTGATTATTTCTGTCCATGGTCATCTATTTCTGATTGCTGAAATGGCAGGTCCCTTCTGTCAGTGAACTGCCTTTCCTCTTGCCCTTGCAAAAGAAAGAGCAAAAAAAGTATTATGGGCTGTGAATTCTGTGACTGCAAATGTACACACAGTGCTCATGTCTTCCGCTGTTCTGGCCCTCCTGTCAATCAGGTACACCTGTGGTTTGGGTACTGGCTGCTCTTACTTCAAATTAGTTTTAATAGTGATGAATTCAAGTGGTCTGATTGCTATACTAATCAGAAAGATATTAGATAAAGCTTGTCCTGAGCAAAATACTGATGAAGCATCATTTTATATTCTATCATAATACTTGTATATGTTCATTGTGCATCTTCTTAAGGACATAATTTATTTCAAATGAAGTAGAATATGGCTCATTCTATGGTTGATCTCCTGTATATTTTAAGCGAATAGAAGCAGAACACATTCTGAACACTGGCTAGGTTTCTAAAACAGTTTAACACTATCCAGAAAAGAAAGACCTCATCTTACTGAAGTTGTTAGAACCTGACATTAACATTTTCTCTCCAGTTCAGCATATCTTTTTTATTGCCTGGAGAATCTACCTTCTGAGACGAGATTTTAAAAATTACTTTTTTTTTTTTTAACTTAGCTGAAGTTGTCTAAAATTTCCATCAGTTTCTACTGGAACAGAGTTCAGTCCAACGCCATGCTTTTTGAAATTTTTGTGCTTGTAAGAATACACTGTCATGTACTGCTAGAGCCAAAATAATTAGGAAGCTTAGATTTAGTAAGACATGTGCCATTCTTGTTTCTGTCAGAAGTATACAGCTTCAAAAAAGGACTGTAATGCTGTCAACTAGCCATTGGGTTAATGGTACCACTGCTTGAACAGGGAACACGGTGGTCTGCAACAGCACAGCCTTATCCAGGTGCCTGATGTCACGCGAGAATTTGGTCCATAACATTTTTATCACTGATTTATGGGTAAGCACCTGGAAGTCTTTCAGGAGGACCTCCATTCTCTGGCTGTTACTCAAGTTGCTGATGACTTCATTCAGTTGCGAAATGCACTTATTGCACCATCCATCCATTTCGTCTCCAGTTTTCAGGATGTCGTCCCACAGAGACACACTTACACTCAGCCGGTCGATGTTGTCTTCAAGTCTTTCAGACACCTTTTAGGAGAGGAGAATGTATCAATACCATTCGCAAATTGATTTTAGATTTCTAAGCCTAGGCAAAATAATTTTTTTAGAGTTAGGTCTAAGTTCTTAATTCTAATTTCAATTTAGTTACCTAAATTATAAAATGAACAGAAATCGTGTGTGACTGTTTCTAAAAATTTGTATATTTTTTACTGATAAACTTTATCCTTAATCCCGCTACATTTATCTTTCTTACCTAATGCAGAAATTTGCTAATAAAGCAGTATAAATATGAAAATGTAAAATATTAGCTTTTATATTATGTTTCTCTGCTATAATGTCTTTCTCAACATATTCACATCTTTTATGGTGTAGCTTAATACAATTCACTCCTAGTTTATTTAGCCCATTTTACTTGAATAAAATAATGCTGGCTTACATTAGGTGAGAATCCAATCCAAATTTATACTCAGAAGTGTGCACTAAGCAAATATATACTAGTAAGATTTGTTCATTGTTATAAGACATCGTTTTAAATCTATCAAATGGATGTCACAACTTTGTGCATACAATGGATGCCAAATCCCTATGATTAACACTTTGAGATATACTTCAAAGTAAACTTTACTGAACAATTGCACTCTGAGATCCTAAGAAAATACTAATACTGTAACCTTAGCCCAACTTAAAAACTGTATTCACTGTATAAACACCAGACTCTTACATCGAGCCACTTGTCCACCGTACAGTTCATATCTGTTTTTATCGCCGTGGAGTCACAGTTATGCACCCTTTTCAGTTCTGCTAACAAATGTTTTCCTTTATTGGTGAAAGTATCCAGCTCTTTTTGTTTCTCACTCAGTTCATTCTTGGCAGCTTCATGCTGTGGACATAAATATTTGCTTGTTTAATGAAGCCTTGAAAAAAGAAAGAAAAATCCAGTTCTCCAGGTTCTCCCATACTAGCCCTGTGGTATATGATGCGTTTGATAATTCTCAGTCAGCATACCATCTAATATTTAACTATGCCACGAAATACAGAGCAACTGGCATGGTTTTCCCATAAGCATAATCAAATTGTATGATTGTTCTTACAAACAAAGCACACAAGTGGGAATAATAAATTCTGAATGTTCCCCACTTGGTAATCAGCTATTTTTGGGACTGAAAGCAATGGTGGTTTTTTTCCTATTATTCTTTCTATTCTTGAGACTCTACACGTCTAAAATTGAATAATAAGAACCCATCATTGACTAAGTAGTAACTAAAATCAGTTCTGGAAATACAGCAGGGTAAACAGAGGGTGTTGCAAACAAAATGTAGGATTGTAAAACCTGTCACTCCTAGACACTCTGGAAAACAAAAGTACAGATGTGTTCAGAAAGGAATTAGGCAAAATCTTCAGGGCTACTAAGTTTGCAATTCTAGGCATAGGGAAATCTTTAAAATACTGTCACCAAAGAGATGACAACATACTGAGAAAGGATCGCAGTAAGCATCTCATACTTTTTTTCTTGAACAAGTATTACAGATCAGCATTAGAGATAATAAGCTACTAATCTGGATGCAGTACAACCATGTGGCCATGCCTACTTTATTACGGTGGAAGTTGTGCAAAGTATTTTTTGTGTTCTATCTCCTTCAGGCCTAGATGTGGCCACTGTTGTAGCCGGGAATTCTCCACAGCCCAAGGCTCACATTAGGGAGAGGCATCATATGGAAGTTACATGCATTTCTTTGTTAGACTGCCGAGCTTTCTTCTGGCTTTCAGTTCTAGTTAAAATGTCTGTTAAAAACAGGCCATAAATACACACAGTTTAGAATGAGGTTTATAGAGATCTGACTGAAGAATTTTTAATGAAGAGCTCAATAGGCTTCCAAATGAAATTACCCTTCGAATGAATGGAAAGAATTTAGCTCAGAACTGGTATTGCTGACAGGCTGACAGATAGCAGAATTTAGAATTTTAGAAATATGATCCTGTGAAATGAATGTAATGCAGGGATACAAATTCCTTATCTCTGCTCAATGGCCAGTATCAACATTGAACCCCATGGAATAAGTCATTGTAGGGACAGAGACAGACATAAGAATTGCACACTTCAGAAATGTGTACAATTCATTTTCTCTTGTTGACTTTTACCTATTAAAAAAATCACACAGTATGGAAAAACATTAAAGTATGTTGACCAGAAATATCCTTTCATGCTATGATAAGAATATATTCTCAAGATATTTTATATAAAGAGCAGATAACTTACGCTTTCCATACAAATTAACATTTTGAATTTCTAGGTGTTAAAATTATAAATAGCAACAATCAAATACACAGTAATGGATCTCATCAAAATGCTGAAAGGGCTATATCCTTTCCTCATCTGAATTAGTACAATTTAAACCCTGAATGTCAGTGTGACAAGATTTGACAGTAAATTCAAGGAACTTTAAACATAGCCCAAGGGTACCTTTCAAACAGAAAAATCCATCTAAATCAAAGATCACTTAAATGCCTCAAATGAAAACATTTGTAGTTACCTTTGATAAAGTTCGCTTGACATCTTCATGATCCTTCCAAATCGATTTGATCGCAGAAGTACTGTCAGCACTGTCTATGACTTTCATTACTGCTGACTTCAAGCTCTGATATTCCTTCATCAGATCAATAAGAATGTAGGACTGCTCCTTTCTGCAATGTGAAAAGGCTGTGTTAGCACCATTTGTTGTTGTGTTTCTGAAGGAAAGAGAATATAACGTAGCGATTCACCATGGGAAAATCCAGATGCAGCGCTAAACGTGTTCTGGGCAGCCAAGGAAATATTAGTATTCTGGTTTTACAAATCACTGTGGGTTCATACATCACAAAACATCTCACTGATGTTTTGTGAGACAGTATATGAATTGTCATTTCATATATATCAGATATCAAAGCAACCGACTTGAGCAAAAGAAAGACTGAAACTGGAATTCAAGCTTCTCACTGCCTAAGTTGAGGACACTGACTGGAAACCATACTATAATGATGCTGGCACTCACAGCTCATTTTTTTTTAAACTCGTTTCTTTAACATTGGGGGTTTTGGACGGGTAAAAAGAAGCAGAAGTAAAGACTAAAGCTATGCAAGATAAGTCTGAATATTGTGTTTTCCAATTGTCAGGTGCACGCTTTTTGGGTCTAATACGTTACATCCAACTTACTTGTCACTCTACTGAGAACAGAATAATTTGCTTCTAAGAACAGGTCTAATATTTTTTTCCTGCCCCCTCTCCAGAAAAGCCTATTTCCCTTCAGGCAATGGACAAAAGAAAAAAAAAAACAACACAACAAACCAGCAAACTGTTAAATCCATTCCTGGTGTTTATACTGAAGAGAGAGAAGGAAGACTAATACTTTGGATATGTTTAGTTGCAGAACAGTGTGTGTCTGTGAAAGGAGTTTGGGAAATATGACACTGCCAAGAAAGAGAGGTAATTGCTTTAGGAGCTGGCTCTTCTCTGAATGCTCCAAAGAGCTCTCCAAAATAATCAGGTTCAGGAGGGCTTAAAATTGTGTATATATGAGCAAGAAAACAGTTTAAAATAATTAAAAGTAAATTCATAATTTAAACAAAAATTAATATTATTTTTATGTTAGAAAGGAATCACAAGGTACCTGAGTATCTTTCAGTTTTAGGTATGAAGATGGCAACAACTACCCCAGTATGTGAAAACTGGACAAGTCGTTTACCCTCAATAATGCATCTATACGGCAGGGACAGCTATTTTACATTTTCTTCACTGCCAGGTTGGTACTGCCTGCCTAGCTTCTGGCAAATGTATGTGGAAATTACTTGGTTTACTATTATTAAGGACTCCCAGAGGTAGAAAAAATGGGTTGCAGCAACATGCAACATGAAATACAGATTAGCAACAGTGCTTAAGAAAAATGAGTGATGGATATTTCTAAACAAAGCTTCCTTTTCTTCCACGTAGTTCAGATTGATACAGCTCTTAAAAATGCACTAGAAAACCAGACTGAATTCAGCGGGAAAAAACACCAGAAATGAAATACATGTAGCATATTTTCAAGCAGGAAAACGATGCATGGATCTGGTTAAGGGGCAGCACATTTACAAATATCTGTATGGTGTCAATCAAGAAAGTGGAATAACAGTACAGTATATAAACCAAAGGAAAAAGAAATCATTTTTCAGCACAGATAAATATTTTTTTTTTGAATCATTGTTCCAGTACACCAACCCAGTGGTTACATGGGGATCACCAAATTGCATGTGCCCATTGAAATATTAGCCAGGCTTAGAACTGTTTTGCTTCTGCACTTAGACAAAACTTATGTACATTGAGGATGATGTAGTACTGAATGAATCTAGCATTAAATTTAAAAAACAACATTTGAAGAAGTCTTCTTTAAAGATGAAAAAGAGGCAGCTAGGACAAAGAAAAGGGTTAGATGAAACTTTCTTTAGTTTCTTTAGTTCCTTTATCAGCTTTCATTGATATACAAAACTTTCCTATATCACTGATTATACACTAATGATTGTTATGAGCCTGGTCCCTTGAGCAGACAGAAAGACTTAAATCTAAGAATGATTTAGGACCACCGAATAGATTGGCAGAAATCCATATCCAATAGAGAAGGAAAATACATGCTAGAAGGAGAGTATGTGCTAGTAGGAGTGATAGTGAAATCTCAATGGAGTTTTATCTTTCAGGCGAGTAAATAATAAGATGCACCTAAAAGCCCAGTATATCTGTAAGTACTGTCCTGAGGACCTATCTGTGGCTTTATTAATAGTATAATTACAACTGGTACAAATATCCTGGTTTACACTCTGTTTTATCTTCTACTCAGTATTTAACATACAAACCCTGTTTCTTATAGGGATTAATATGGCAAGAAGATATTAAATGTAAATAACTGGGTCTCTTTCCCCCACTAAAAGAACCTTCTCCTTTCTCACCTTAAGTGTGAGATCTACTTACTTTTCATGTATAACTTTCTTGGTATCCTCCCACAGAGATTCTAAGCAATTTATCTCTTTGTCAATCTCAGGAGCAAGTGTAATATCTTTTTGAGCTATTTGTTTCGCTTTGTCCATGAGCCACTGGAGTTCATGCTGGTGAGAATTCAGTTCTTCATCTAACTGGTTAAAGATCCTCAATCTGCAAGTTAAAAGGCAGGTTTCAGATTTACTTATCTTCACGTTTTTGCAAGAGAAAAGAAGAGAAAGAAAGAATGAAACAGTTGCTGTTAGAGTTACTGTGCATAAAGTTCCCTTTTTCTAATATTTCCTACAATATCTTCAGAAAACAAAGTGTTATCTAGATTTTGTTCTGCTATGACTGGGCGCAGAATGTGATTTTTCTGATACATATAAAGCTATACAATTATATAAATATACATATACCTTCACCTCACACAGTGACTCTGAAATATACTGAAATATTTAGATTAATACTTTTTATAGTAAGTGTTTTCAATTCCCTCAGCACATGTAAAGTCTTTAATTCTGTAAGAGTAGGGATAGTTGTGTTATATGGGATTTCAATAGCTGTTTGGAGCTTGGATTCATTTGGAAAAAAGAAATTTCTGAGACAAGGATTTTCTTGACCGTTCTTTCAATATAAAAGATTAGCGGGACTTGCTAAGTGTTCTGCTCATGTTCTGCCTCCATCCAAAGGGCTCACTTACTTACAAAATTTTATTAAGTCGATATATGGACTTATATATTCCTGGCAAGAAATAAGGTACCCAGGCAGAAAACTCACAGATGCTTCCAATGCATCATAAAAAGTCTAGAGACTGCAAGCAAATGAAGAAGTGCCAATCTCAAGCGTTAATATTGTTTTCACCTTTGCTGGAGGGCTTGCAGTGTTGCCTCCTTCATGCCCTCCTTGTCAGCCTTTTCCTCAGTATCTTCAATTCTCTTGAGTAGCTGTTCTTTACGTTCCATGAAAGATCTTCGCAAGGCTCCAAGAGCTTCTGCCTCACTCTGTTTGGTTCCCAGCAGGTTTTGAACTGCCTCCAGTTCCAAGCACAGATTATCCACCACAGCCCTGCAGGAGGTCCTCTGCTCAGAAATGCTGTGTTTTAGGTGATACTGGGCCTTAGTAAGGGAACCATCCAAACCGATGGCAACAGATTCCAGCTTGTTAAGATCTTGAATAACATCATTGAGTTCCTTCTCCAGTAATTCAGATTTAGCTTTATCCATATTTCCTGTTTTCTCCACCGTCTGCTTCAGCTGGTGGAGCACTCCTGATGCAGCACTATGGAGCTCCAGGAATACCCGCAGCTGATCCAGAGCCTCTTGTCTTTGGCTAGTTATTTGACTTGCTTCCTGGAAGAGCTGAAAGCAATCTTCAGTCTTTCCCTGCAATGCCTGCTGGTCCTCTGGGCAGCTGAAAGAACACAATTTATCTACATGTTCCTTCAGACTTTGTAGCTGCTGCTTCTTACTTTCGACTTCCATTGAGTGGTTCTACGTGAAAGAAAGAAGATAGGGCTGGGATTTTTCTTCCAATCAAAAGCTCAGAAAACATTCTAGCACTAAACTTACAAGCAAAACAAGTACTAGTGAGGGGTTTTCAGAAAGAACAGTTCAGTGTCACAATTTTTCTTTAAACTGGTCAAATAATAGAAATCTCTATGTGACTGCAACAGCGTATCGGTTTTCAAACAAATAAGTGACCTCATGCTAGTTTTAGATGAATATTTAGCTGAATGCACTGTACAATTTTTTTGTCTTTAATATTTACATCCAAAAGATTACCTTATTGTGAGATGCAGCTAGTTGTCGATCAGCTGTGTTTATCTCTGAAGTGGCTTGTAGTTCAGCAAGGAATTGCTTAATCCAGTCTGAAAACCTGAGCAGGAGCTCATCAAACTGCCCATGCTCAGTAACAAGAGATTGAAGGAAGTTGATCCTATAGGATGTCAGATGTAAATAAGAAAGCACTGGATGTAAATTAATCACTTCCTATAATCAAAGCCACAGCTGACTGGACAGCATTAAATTCAATGCCATGTGCAAGGAAAGAAGGAAACGTTAATTTATGTTATAAATGTGTTGATTTCTTAACTGGGGAATAAGACAACAATAAGAGCACCTGTTTGGCTCTTCCCTGTTTCCACTTTTTTACTCATATAAACTGTTAGAAATGCCCCAAACAATTACGGTATGTTCTTCAACTTTTCTTCATGAGGGTAGTCCCAGCAAAGAGAATGATATTGATGGAAGGTAAACTTCAGTTTTCAGACATAGTAATTCTGTTTGCTCTATCATCTGCCATACTGCATGTAAGGTGAAAGTCTCATGAATTTAGATGGGAGTGAGTAACTGCATGCTCAACTTCCATTGAAGTAAGTGAGGGTCAAGTCTGCTCAAAGGAACACAGTTCAAAGGAGGAATGTGTCCAGAGGAATACTCAGAACGAAGTTTCTAAACCTTGACCTTAAAAAAACACCTTGTCATTTACCTTCCTGTTTGCCTTAGAAATTTCTCTACATAATTTTCAACATGAAATGCTAGTAGAAGATCATTATACTGAAAAACAATCATATTGGTAAAGCCCCTAGAAGATGATGTCATTGCCCAGAGTCTATTATTTAAGCTCCTTTACAAATAGTAAAATATGTATGTTCGTTATCAAAACAATTGAAATCTAAATATATGATTTCAAAAAAGAAGGCAGTGCTCCTGACCCTTCCTGAGCCTTCCAGATTCCTCATCTGGATATTGGTTACCCTCATTTCACATGTAAAAAACATTCTGAAGCACAAACCTTTTATCAACAGTTTGTGGTAAAGCTTTCCACCTCTCATCCAGCTCTTCAAATTTTTCTTTTATTGTTTTCACACACTGTTTGGAAGCTGTTGGGAATAGTGTCTCATTTAACTGTAATAGGCTCGAAAAGACTGAGGCATGGGACTCAATATCTGCTCTCAAATCCTGGGAAAACAGGAGATTAGATTAGATTAAATATGACATCATACTATGAAAATAACAAAAAAAAAAAATCAAGTCAGGATTTCCAGTACACCACTTTGAGACAAGTGAACGAGCACAGTAAAATCCTTTGAGGAATTGAGGTCTATTAGGACAAGCAGGTACTCAACACCTTTCAGACAGCCAAATCTGCAACTGCAATTCTGTAAGGATTCATCACAGGGCTTTTTGTCCCCTTTATGTCAAAGTGTGACCTTTCCACACAGCTCTACTGTACGATGAAAGTGGCTAAAATCAAGACTAAGTTTTGCAATGCATTTTGTCTGCAGCAACAGAATTGTGAAGAAATGTCACAAATTGGCCCAAACAAAAAATCAAAACCCCAAATAATTTTCCTTCTCTTCACTAATATTTAAAACTAAAATTATGGACTCGTTGGCTTGATGAAGGGTCTAAAAGATGCTACATTTGGCCAACTGCTTCATACTAACCTAGAAACAAATGGCAAAAATTCCAAGGGAAGGCATACTTTAGAATAGGATGACAGACTTGTGTTTAAAAAAAAAATCAGAAATCAGACTTTCATTGTGAATTCAGAACCTTTGAGCATTTTGTCATCTGAGCAACTTTCCTCACATTCAAAGAAAGGAAAGTAGCATTGTAAAACAAAGGCATTTCTCTAGAGAAAGAATCCTCTGGCAAGCAGACATATGTCCTGCCTTGTCAGACTACAACTGAGCAAGTCCGTCCTTTAAAAGACACAGAAACAAACCAGGAAATGGAGGGGGACAATCTTTTGGTTGAATCGTACCTGCAGGGACTGCAGTTCACTTTCCAGTTTAACTCTGTCAGCAGAAACATACTGCTCCGAAGGCCTGGCTGCAGCTTCACACCCCTCCAACCAGCTCAGGAAGGCAGACAGCTCCTTCTCCTGCCTAACAAAACCACAACATAGAGTTACCAACTCAAGGCATCTCCTTGGTCTCACCCACTGACCGTAGGAAAGTCTCCGTGTCCATCACAGCAGATGTGAAAGTCTACTCACTTCTGCCACTGAGCCAGAAGAGTCTCTAATAAGGTCTGTTTCTCTTTAGCATTTTCTAGCACCTTTTCATATTTCTGCTGTAATGCTGTGACCTCCTGAGCAGCTTTTTCTTTGTTGGCCAACTTTCGGGCACAGGCTGAGAGAGAGGCCAGAGAGTTGCTCAGTTTTTCCACGGTATGAGAAAGGTCCTAATGAACATGTAAAAGAAACAGAAGTCACACGGATAAACAACAGAGCTATGGTAACGACGGTGGGAAAAATCCTGTACTTCTAGTCAAAGTTGGAATAAATGCTACATCCACCGTATCATGAAGTCAATACATAGCTTGTATTTCAGTCAGACCTATCCTAGATACACGTCCCAAGCACATCAATCAACTAGCTTGTAGTGGGGAAAGACTTTCCTAAGAACAGTGCTAAAGAAAAAACAGTCAGCAAAAACAGGGTCAGATCTTTTGAATGGGGATGTGATACAGCGTGATCACGTAGGACAAAGCTCCAAATTCCCTAACATCTGTCAAAGAGTTGCTCTAATTTATATATATATCTGCAGTAAATACAAAAATCTCACACAACATGTGAGAACTGCCAGACTTGCAGCCCATGTCATGACGTGGTAGAGGTCAGGAACAGTTACTGTGAACTTCTGTCAGCATTAGCTAGAGGTCTTTTTCATGGAAATGGCATCTGATGCTGACTAGACTTTCCAGTGTTGCCATTTCTGGAGAGGCAGGAAACTTGTTCATATGAAAATGATTGATATGTAGTACAATCAGTTAGAAAAACACAAAATGAAATAGATTTAAGACCACTGAAGTTCTAACTCGCAGTTGTGCAATAATAACAACGGTAGTAATGGTTATAAGTACACTCATGAAGGAAATCAGATACAGGAGGAAACGTGAATTATACAGCAACAAGCTGCTGATGTTTAAACTAAATAACAAAAAATGATTTCATATTAAGGCATTGAATCATCATGATCCTGTATGCAGGACAAGAGTTTACAACAGAATACTCAGCATATTCCTAATGTTTAATAGCCAATAACAATAATGATTACATAGGCTGTCAGAATAAATTCTACTTATGCAAAATATTTTTCCTCAACAAGTATCAAGCTTTTTTGAAGCAGACATGCCAGGTCTTCCTTGCATACAGCCTTTGCAAGAAGTTACCACTAAGTTCAGAGGAACTGCAAGAACAATACAACTAAAAGTATTTACAATATTTTCTTAGAAAGGAAGATAATGGTTATTGTGGGAAGAACATCACAAACTTATAGACACAGACAAAAATGCTAGACCAAATTGCCTCAGATTGGAGATTTTTTGTAGTTTGAATACCAATCCAATGTTTGTTTTCCTTTTGTAATGGTCTGAATGAAATGTCCAAACACCCATGGATTTCTGGCATCGCAGATAAAAGTTTGTGAGCTGAAACTCTGTCCAGTCTCCGCGTTGTCCAAGAAAAACTGCTTTCAGGGTGATTTTTTTTGTTAAAAATCACGTTTTTCTATACCAAGACCCAAGTTTCATGAAGATCTTCCACGAAAAATCTCCAACAGACATGTTTCTTACCTTCAATTTTTCATAATGTTTTAGATGCATAAAATTAAAAACAATAACCTGAAGCATTAATTCATACTTTTAGGCTTTCCTTTCTCCAGAGCTGGGAAAAAACTCTCCAAGCCATGGAGAAGTGACATGGTGAGAAAAAAATAGCTGAGGAAGCCTGCTTAAGCCTTCCCTGGGGCAGCCCTTGCCTCTCCCTGCCTCCACCCTGGGCTCTGTGGCACCAGGCAGCCCCTGGTCTGGTTACGGGCATTTCTGTGAGGAGGTGTGTGCGCCACTCTTTGCCTGGACTCGGTGGCAGGAATCGCCGGCCAAATGCTCACCGTGCAGTCCTGAAGGGCTGTGTACGTCGCTGCTGCTGATGAGCATGATGTGAGCGGCTCAGCGAGCTTAGCTTCCAATTCAGACACTGCCCGCTGCACCTATGAAGAAAAGGGAAGATCAGAGAGTCTAAAACCAGCAGGAAATACATAAATGATGCTTTAAAGATCATCTTTTAAATATTTAGTGCTAAGAGACTATTACATCCTAAACTTTTGTAGTGCTGAGTGCCTTTTGAAGTTAAAAGATGCTAACTGGGCTCACCTCCTTGTGACTGGGGCAACAATAATATTTAAATTATTCTCCTTATGACCTACTAGCAACCCAAGATTAAAGGTAAAGTGTTTATAAGAAGTATGGATGTGGTTTATTGGTGCAATATCCAGGAGAATCATTTAGGTTTTCTAAAAGACAGCATAATTTTTTGAGTATCTTCCTGAACCTGCTTTTTAAGTCATTCAAAGCACAAATTTACATATAGAAGTCTTGCAGTTACCTTACAGATCTACTCGTATATTCTAGTCCATCCTATTATAACATGCATTTTATATTCCATTTTTGAAAAATAGAGTAATTCTATAAATTGCTGCAAACAATCCATTAGATATTGCATTGTCTACCTGTTTAAGATTTTCTTCATATTTCTGCTGTGCTGATGCATTCCCTGTGATTGTTCCTTCCAGTCTCTGTGCATGATCTCTTAGCTCTTCCCAATACCTTTTGACCTGGGTCAGTTTGGCTTTAATACGTGCACATTCTCCAGACGTAACAAACTGGGAAAAAGACTCGGCTTCCTCTTCCAGTTTTGAGATTCCAGTTATTTTACCATCTATTTCTTTATTAATAACCTAAAATGTAAAGTAGTAGTAAATAAAGAAGCACAATAGGGTTTTAGTTATCAGAGTAGTATTTTCTACTTCCTTCTTTTACCTGAGTTATTAAAATTCTTCACTACAAAAGAGGAGCATTCATTGACAACTTGAAATAACTATTATAAAAGTCTTTAATACGCCCTGTAAATTCCCCTTTTCTTCTTAAAATTAGCACTGGAAAAGATTTCAAAAACAGTTTCTATGAAGAGGAATTAGAATTGCCCGAGGTGCATGTTTTCATAAGCAGACAAGATAGTTCATATTTCACCATCTCTTACTTCACAGCAAATTAATACACAATTCTCTTAAAGAGTCAAAATAAATACAAGATAAAAAAGTAAGTGTATAACTGAAAACGATATTTTTAAGGAGCTGAACCCTAACAGTTGATTAGTTGTGTTTAGTAAGTTTTCAAGTACTTACAAAATAGAACATGCTATGTTTTGAAAACCAATAGAAATTGTTTTCATTTTCTAATTTAAAATTCTATGGATAATAAAGAATAAACTAACTTAGATGATGAGGTAGGGTGAGTGTGCTCTCAGGCAGACAATTATATAAAGAAGCACATTACAGTAGAAATAGGAAACCAGGAAACAAGAGTGATAATGGCCCTTGGTAGTTTTCAGCTGTATTCTACCTCAATTAGTAAATGCATAAAGACAAACTAGTACTGGCTTTACATTTCCTCAGCTACATGAGAGCAACTGTCTCCTATATTTTTTCACTTTTTTTTTATTGCAAATTAGAGGCAAACCTGAAAGCTACAACATTGGAGATGGAAACTTATGGTGTTTCACATTCAGTGGCTATTTATTCAGTAAGCATCAGTGAAATTGGAAATAAGATTTTTTTCTCAACAGAATTCTTTTAATTTCTGCTGATGTAGCATGTCCATGGAGCTCTTCTCAAAAGCAGTGAAAAACACTCATTGGGAGGAAATTGCACGAGCCAAGAGCGCTCACTGAAATTGAAATAGGCAATAGCATTCCAGATATAAAAATGTTAAGATATGTAAGTATATGACATTAACCAAAAAATTTCTTGAAAATGCACTCACAAAAGCTTACAAAGTGCCCACCTTCTGCTACAATTGTGATAAAAATATGGTATCTTGCTTGCCGTTATAAAGCTCAGAAGCAGCTTACTGCAACATTCAAAGTCTAGAATTAGCAGGGTGACAGTACAGAAAAAGATGTGGTGCTGTAAGCATTTATAGTGTCTCTTTATGCAATATATTCTGAATTAATTCAGATTATAAAATATCTTTTCTGCGTGAGAACATGGTGCTGAGGAAAAATACTGGATTTGCGGCCCTGAAGCTGAAATTATCTAACAATGCAGCAGATACAAATGAGGCAGCGCTTTTTTACTCCCACGCTATTCTGTTAAATTCACTCAGTTACATAAAAGAAGGTGGATAATTGAGGCCTTCAAACTCTCACTGAGTCTGCCACCAATGCTAACTACTTGCCATAACTGTCATTTTGTCCACCAGGAATTTTGGAGAAATGCGTAGGTGAAAATCTGGCTCTGCAGAAGTCATCAGGGTTTTGCAATCAATGTCACCAAAAGTAGAATATTACCACTCTGTATGATAGTTACATTCAGCTGACCCCAGGTTTTTTATCTGGCCAGCCAAAGATACGATGGAAACCACCATGTTTTTTTGGTGTATTTGCTTCATATTGCGATATTCCTTACTAATATGTTGTACTCGAAATGATGAATTAAGTATGCTGATTACCGTTGTGACACAGACTAACTCATCAGGAAACTCACACCAAAACATAACAAATCCTTCAAAATCAGGCACAAAGCAATACTGCTGAAGAAGACCTCCAGCTATGTCCAGGTACCGGAGGTTAGAGGACTCATTTCACATATCAGACTTCGTAAAGCTGTTTTGTGCACCCGAGTTACAATGACGTTCCCTAGGCTTTATCTGGAGGATTTTCTCTGCTTTACATCTGTTCACTCAGACATTTATAAAAATTACCTGCTGGCCACTTTCTTTCTGTCATGATGTTTAAGTGAAGAAAGCTTATGTTGGCATTTTCAAAAACTTGCAATGCAGTGTAAAAATTACTGATTATCTGCATAAGTAGCAAGGAACAGCCATTCTGGGAAATTGGCTTGAATGGACTAAGAGGGCTAAACTCGGCTCTATTTAGACAGACAATTGTCATACTGCAATGCAATATTAATAGCATTTGATGCACTTCCTGTCTTAAATATTTGAATCGTATCTAGTAACTACTGAAACGTATGGTTACACGACAGTGTATGCCAGTGGAATAAGAGCATATATAGTATTTCTCAAGGAAACTGGTTTTGACTTGCTGTGGTGATGAAGAAGAATTTAAGCATTGTTTTATTCTTCAATGATGAAACCAAGGGAATCTATTGATTTGGTGTATGTAAAGTTGGGATCAAATTAAGAGTGGGAAAATCTGTTGATAAACTGCTTGTGTCACATGAAACAAATGCCTTAAGGGATCCTTTGGAAACACTTAGTGTCAATCTGGTCCGTGACTGCAAGCAGCTGCACACCTTTGCACTTTCCGAAGAGCAAGTAGGTCACAGAAAAAAAGAAAAAAGCAGTGTGCTCTGCATATTGAAAACCCCTGTCCCCTTAGAAACACGCAGTTTCAGAGAAGGTATGTTTTCATTTGTGGGAGGACATGAAGTCAGCCCTTGAAATGCAATGCTTGGAGACAATACGCACCTCAGCAAGAAACTAAATGACTATGTATCTAACAAGAACGTATACAGATTTTAAGACAGTGTAAATATAACAGCAATAAATGGTATGTAGGTTTGCAAGCTGCCAAGAGCAATAGTTTCTTTATTATTTCAGCATAAAAGATACATAAATCAAGTTATAGCTTTAGCTTGCAAGATTAAAATCAAATTCTATATCCACTAGCTGATGGATGCTTTAAAATAAAAAATAAGCTTTATACACCTTGCATTTATATAGCTATTTTGTACACCAGTTGAGATTACTCAAAAAATGAGAGGAGTATAAATTAAATAATATTTTTAACCATACACACAAAGGCTTCATGTATGTAAACTAAAGACTACCAGAGAAGGCAGCCTGTAAGAATTTTCCTAGTTTATGTAAAACCTTACTGCTTGGTATATTTATGTACAAAGCGTGCCATCATTATAGCATGGTAGTTTTGAAATGTGTAAAATGCCTGTTCTCCCATTGGGCCTCTAGCAAAATGACAGATAAATGGACTTTTAATGCTAAACATAACAAGAACTAATCACCTTGATTTGGCTGATCTGTATGTCCAAAGGAGATGATGATGTTTCCAAAGTTTCCAGTTCTTTTTCTTGTTCAGCTATCCAGACGGACAGAGCTTCAAAATTATTGCCAAAATGATCCCACTTGTTTTTCACCATTTCCATGCTTTTAATACTAAAATTAACCAAATTAATTAGAGAGAATAAACAGTTTAATATAATGAAGCTGCCCATATTCTTGCTAGAATAAAAACGTAACTTATTCAATCTACAGGAGGGTCCTTTTGAAAACTCCTGGCTTTAGAGGACCAAGTTGTGCGGCTAAATTCGGACTTGGTTCTCTCTCAGTCTGCACCCAAAGTCAAACAATTATATTGGCCATAGTGGGGACGCTGAGAGATGAAACAGAGTACAGCTTCATTCATCAGCCATACATCAAGAATATCATCGTGGCAGGAAGAGAAAGGAAGAGTAACATAAATATGATTTCTATGAAATGTAAATGTAAATTTCTATGAAATCATATGGAATTATGATTATATCACATCTAAAAATTGAGATACATGAGTGCATAGATGTTAGTCATTTAATTGCTAGAACAGAATGATTAAAACCAGCGTGTTGTGGATGTACATATGTTCACCAATGCTTGACTGCTTTATTAAACTTTGTTCTTTTTATAACAGCAATCTGCCCGTCTTATAGGAAGTTTGTGTTTTCTGAGGCAATGATTTAATATCAAGCCAAAGAATCAACAACAGATATGACTCAACTACCCCAAAATTAATAGATTTATATTCTTTGAAACATACATTATAGGTACGTTAAACAGAGACAGATTATGACTGAGTCTTGGATAGCAAACAAAGCACCACTTTTTTGGTCACAAGTAAGAAGTCTAATGCCCTTATAAGGTCTAACCGCATTAACTTCCAGTATACAAGTTTCTGCTCCTTTCAAGTCATCGTAAAGAAACCAAAGCTAATGTAGGCCCTACACACAGCTTGCAAAACACACGTTTTCTATTTCATTGAAAATATTAAAATTTCATCAGAAAAGTTTGAATATTACAAAATTCCAAATTACATTTTCCTTTTAAATGTAGCCTTAAAAACCATTCCATTATACTTTTTTTTATTTCCCCCCTTCATTAAAGCTAGAGAAAGCTTTAAGAAAAGATGTAGTCTAAAAATGTAAAAATTGGCCTTTTTATTTTTTCTTATTTATTTTCAAAATGAAAAAAAAAAAAAAAAGCAATGTCAACAGCCATTTACTGATAAGAGTGTATTCAAATTCAAGTTATTTGCAGGAAAATAAAGTGCAAAAATATTTCACTGAAGTCCAGCCTAAGAAAATACAGCTGGAAACCAGAATCAAGGGATCAAATCAGTGGCACAACAGCTGAAAATCCTTTGCCTTTGTATCTGCCTTCATTAGAGCTGTAAGAAAGCCACAGTCTGTAAAGAATATAGTCCCAAACACACTGCACAGCTACGCATGGTCTCCTAGGAAAACAGATGTGCTAAGTTTGTTCTGTAGCTGACTATGGAGAGCTGCTCAAACTTTTCTGTCCCTTTCCTGTTCATTGGCATAGTATATACCATATTTATTTGGAATACCATCACTTCAAATTACTCGGCCAAGATTTTATTGATGATGCGAGTTACAACATAACCCTTACACACTAATTATATGTTCTGCAGATTCACTATATAGAGTTGTCTATATTTGCATGTTTTGCAGAAGGGATTTATTTTTTTATTGTCTGTCACAGTACCACAGATATTCTGTACAATCCATACATTCGACTAAAACCTATTTCATATCTACATTGAAAGGGCATATCAATGATGGCTTTCATTTAAAAGTAGATGACATTATTTAAAAAGTGAATATTCACTGGTGGAAGGCTGAATTTCTTCAATTGAAAAAAATCACACTAGTTTTCTCTCTAATATTGGAGAAAATGATGTATAAAGTGAAGTATCCAGTAAGACATGGTAGAATTTGGCTGCAAATCACTGTAATACTTCATATTGGAGAAAGTGTTACGTAAAAAAAATTAGACCACCAATAATCAGAAAGTTACATCTGCTGCAGAGGCTAGTTATTTTGTTTCACAACTGTTCTTTTACATTGGGAAGAAAATGGCACCAAATTAAAGTCAGATTAGCATGACAATGGTCAATAAGGGAAAAAAAAAACCAATAATGTGGGCGTTGCCCTTTGCTCATATTCAGATGGAGATGGTGATCCCTGCTTAAACTTATACAGCAAATTATTTTACATAGTAATTCCAATAAGACAACATAGAATTGGTACATATGTCCATGACTTGTGTATCAGATCTAATATATGCAAAAATATGAATTTCATATACACATATAAACATATGTGTATATAGATAAAACGAGAATAGCAACAGTTGAGTAACTGGAGTTCAATAACTGAGTTACTTGAGAAAAGGGACGAAATTTTTGCAAATACATAAAGCTACAAATATTTGCAGGATTTAGCAACATTTTCTTGGGAGTTTGAACTTTCAATTTTTAAACAAAATTTGGCAAATGATGCCTTTGTTATTTGCAGCAGCAGAAGCAGCTTTTGATATTGCCCATGAAATAAAATCTGGGCATTCAGCCAAGATGAAGGCACTTCTTGACATTCCTATAGAGAAAGTAGAATTCTGAAAACCGAGGCAAATGTGGTAAGTATGCTGTTCTCATACTTGCATTTAGATTTTTCTTTCTAAAAGTGTCTAATACCCCAAGAATGAGTTTAATTACCCCTTCTTTGCAAGACTGGGGCTTAAAGATAAGTGAAAGGTTAAATGCAACTAACAGTGGTTTTATAAAATACGTATTATAACAAAGGTTTTGTTTATTTGCACACACTCTTTTGACATGTTTGGTACTATAACCTGGTTACTATGCCACAGCAAGCTGTAAATGATGGAGCTGATGAGACAACACAAAATGCTGACAGGGTATTCTAGAAATCTGATACAATCTTAGAGTGGAGAATAAATATTAGGACTTGTTAAGAACATACTCTTCTTCAAGAGTAACTTCCACTTTTTTCACTTGTTCTTGGATTGATTTTGCCTGTTGTTGAAGGGACTGCTTGTTCTTTGAACCAAGTTGTATCTCAGAAGAATTCTTCACCAAATTCTCAGCCTGTACTGCCATTGCTTCAGTCTGTTTAGAAAGCTCCTGTAAGAATGCAAGACATTAATACAACTTCATATATTTACATAAAAAGTATTTTTCCTCATTGTTTGCGGTTAGAAAAAGTATGTGTGTCCTATATGTATATTTTGAATGTGTAAGTACATAAAAACAACCTCTGAAGACAGTTATTGTCATGCTGCATTTAAGAAATGTTCATTTGAGCATGCTAGCTTGAATAAAATTTAGCAAGGGAAACTATATATCCAAAAAATTTTAACTCAACCAATCAAAATTTGTACTATAGCTCTTCAAGAAACTTATTTGCAAATAGTCCAAGATGATATGCATCTTTATTAAGTCTTCAGATCCTACCCTTTACAGAGAAGATTTTGCCGTATCCTGTAGCTTGTAATCTCACTTTGTTTAACAACTATTTTCTGTCACAAACAGTAAACCCATACACCAGAACAACGGATGCTGTGCATAACCAAGATATGAATAATTTAGTATCAGATTCATCAAAGGGTAAAAACACCATGGAAAGCATGGCACTTAGGAGACCCAATCACTACTATTACTTCTGTATTAGTAAATAAAATGGGCTGGGATAATTCTGTGCTACTAAGGGAAAGTGGCATGTTATGGCTTATGTCCATATCGTGGAAGTCTCTTCTTTTTCTCCTCAGGGCTAAAAGAGTGCTAGTTGGCACAGTCCACATAACCTTGACAAAGAGCACACTATTGACATTGATATGCCACTTCTTGACACTGTTTAGCTTACTAGTATAGATGATTACTGAGCATAAAATGGGAAGTCCTCAAAATCATTTTACATTCCATATGTGTGCTTCAGATGCAGATTTTGAGTAATTCTTCATGTTCTTTTCATAAAATAACACTTTACCTCTAAACAGTTTATACAATCTCTAATCTGTACATGCATTTTGCACCGGCATTAACAGGAGATGCAAAGATTAAAGACAATATGCTCACTACATCTTAAGAAGACAGAAGGATGTCTCTGTTCCTGTATTTCACAGAGTGAATACCTTTGTCTGATCCAGCTCTGAGGAGAGGCTCTCTAAACTGCTAAAGTTTAAGATACGTTCAAGTGCAGAGCTTGCTTGATTGAGATATTTTACCACTGTTTCTTTGTCCCTTTCAAACTGCTCCCATTTATTTATTGTGACCTACAAAAACAAACAAACAAACAAACAAACCAACAAACCCAAAACAGGAACACAAAGACAAAAACAAAGGGGAGAAAAAAAGAATTTCATTGTTACTGAAGAAGGAAAAAAGAGAAAGACCTCACATAAAATAAAGCAATTTCTCCTGAAATGCCATCTACTCCGAAGATGAAACTGTTCTGAACCCAATAAAAGATAAGTTTTCCCTTGAGTTTTCATTGATTCATGCTACACTGTGCAAAAAAGCACAGTGCCAGCAATATTGAAATTTTATATTTGAATATCCTATAAGAAGTCTGAAGTAATAAATGCAGATGCTTATGCTTATGGTGACAGGTAGTCAACAATACCTAAAAGGATTTCCAAGTTCTCTGATGAAATAAATTACAGTGAAATGCTAGAAGAAAACCCCTACTCATAGGAAACTCACACACAGGAATCTATTTGTTCTTTTCCGATAAGGTAAAATTTTGATTAACAGAGCATTAATTGTCAGTCACAAGAATTATGACAGTATAAAGAATTATTGTCTTGATTCTGAAGTAAAGCAAGGCCCTAGTTAAGACTTTATATATGGGTTTCCTTAGAAAAAAAATGGTTTCAATAATAAATTCTTACATTAAGAAGTTATTTGAGCTCTATCAATCATGTTTTTCATCTTGTGTTTCATCATGACAAATAGCTTTGACGACTTTAAACATTTGCATGAAATAGTGGACAGCTGGATTACCATTCTGCTTAGAGAAATGCAAAGGACAGCTCGGATATGGGTGCAAGAAGCTCTAAATTCTAATCACAGTCCAGTTAGTGATTAGTTATACAGCCTGGAGCAATCCATTTGATTTCTCTGTGACTTTTTTTCTTCCTTTAAATTTAGGATGACAGCATGTATTTCACACATTAGTTGCGAGGATTATATTTGCACAACATGAAGTGTTATTAATCTAATATCCAGCCTAAAGACTCCCAATTAAAAGGCAATGTCATCTTCAGTAACCAGGGGAGGCAGCTCATCTAAAAATTAATTCACAGATAAATTATTTAAAATATCTCTTATGACTGAATAGTTGGGACCTTTAAACACTCCCAAACACCATGCTGTTTCTTTATTAATTAAGAGGTATCCAGCAGCTTCAAGAAGTTTTCCTGGAGGTACTAATCATGAAAACCCCAAAGACCAACATTCAGAGATGTGAGAAAGTGAGCTCAGATTTTTTTACATTAAAAAAATTGGTTTCTTACTATGTCAAAAAAGAAGAAGAACAAAGCACAGGTTTTTATTTCTACTTGCAAAGGACCCACCTGCAGTTGCTCTTCACGTTTCTCCATAGTCTGCTGCATGTTCTCTAATGTTCCTTCCAACTTTTGTAAATCCTCTTGCATTGTGCAGGGCAGTCCACCTTCAATCTGCAACTGTTTAGCTTGGGAAATCTGCTGTTGCACATCTTGCCTTTTTGCACGGAGTCTTCTTGTCCTTTGCTAAAAGGATTCATCCAACAGGAATGATTAGACTTTTTAGCTCCTTTGGGAAACTGGCACAACAAAACCACTTTCTGCTTTTGTAGGAGTTTGCAATGAGAATAAAAGACAATGGGATAAATTGTGGCAAGTATTCTTGACAGTCTCATATACTCATCAAGTATATGCCTTGGGTTCCAAAATGTGTATTCGGCTTTTGTGGCCTACAAACGGGAGAGAAAGAGTGGCAGCATGGCCATTTATCCAAAGCGATATTTTTAGAGAGCAGAAGCCACAACAGTTGAGCAAGTGCAGCAGTAGCCACAGATGCACGTATTCCTCATGACGGCCTGGAAGCATCCACATCTTTGAGGAACGTGTTGGAGCCTCAGGTTGATCAAAGCAATTTATCAGCCTTCATTAGACAGCAGTAGAGGGATGGCCAAGTCACACAACTCTTTCTTTGATGCATTTTGCTTTGTAGAGATATCAGAAACTCCTAAGACTATATACCCTCTCCTTTCCTAAGATGCCTGACCCATTGCCAGCCTTGCTAGGTAAGTTCACAGCTCCCTGCTCAGTTCTGCTCTGGCTACCTTCAGTTCTTTGTCAATGTCTGTTTTTACCTTAAAAGACTCCATATCAAAAGAAGGAGGAGAGTCTGAGAACTCAAGGAGAAGTTAACTATTCCTACTGCCTATCCTGTGACGAATAAGGAATGTAGAGTATTGAAAGAACAAATGTGAACCTTAACACATACAATAGCTTTCACAAACTCCAAAGAGTTTAGATAAGACAGAGGTTAAGACATAGTACTGCCTTGTCAGACAGTAAGACATGTCTGACCTTACAGAAATAGATGTTAATACAAAACATTTATATAATGTCCAAACACTGACAGTAAATTATTCTTTTTCTTATTAGCTTTAAGCAGGCCTCAAAGTTTATTTCCCATGTTTCGCCTTAAAACCCATGATTCTTGCTGTATGCACCCCATATGATTTCTTATTACTGTAGGCGGCAGATGTTTTGATCTATTATCAGTGCATAAAAAGCCTCCTATTCTACTCCTACAGACTGGAGTCCAACCTGTCAATGCAGTAGCTACCTAGAGGAGGACATGAGGCTACTGCATTTAGAGTTGGTGCCACATCAAAGTTGCTGAAGTTGAGAAATTTCCAAAACTAGGATCAGGCCAAATTTACCATGATCAAATCTGACACACAAACTTCAAAAAGGTGAAAAGAAAGAGACTACATATTTGCAGAGTACAGTTACCCAAAAATTTCAAGTAAATAAACCCTGTTTTTCAGCTGTTCAGTACCCAAAAAACCAACGTGAAATAAAAGGATATTCAATAAAAGTTGAAAAACAAGCTCAACTTTGGGCATTAACATTGAAAAAATACTGAGTACTTATATCATTATAAGACATCAATACTAGGCCATACGAGACCATTTCCTTTATCACACTTTCAAGTTTAAATATAAAGAGTTATGCTAATGGTCATTACTAAATTTAGTAATTACATACATTCTACCTTAAAAAAAAATGGAATATGGACATGAATAATTGGTCTACCTGATGATGAAGTAGTAGTTGCTGAGCTTGTAATAAACTTTCTGTATCCAGGATCTTTTCAGCCTCTGCTTGGGCTTCTTTAGAGTTGTTGATTAACTCTTCAATTGCACTTTTAACTTCTTCTTTGTACTGGACACAGTCTCCAACAGTGCCTATTGTCTTTTCAACCTACAATTACAGATAACTTTTAAGTATTTCATGTTGAAAGGCACATTTATATTTTAAGGGCGCATTTATATTTGGAATATTTTTCAAAAAATATAGCAAGTTGTCTAAATTTAAACCATTTTTGTCTCCAGCATTCTTAACAGACACCTTTAACTTTACATTAAAAGAGTGATTGTAGACTTAAAATGTGATCTTGCTTAGACATACTCCCTATTACATTGCCATATGGTAAACAGCTGTCTGTGACAGCCCCTTATTGGTGATTACTTAGAAAATATATGCTGTCCTCACCCTTGAAGCTTGGCCCAGATTCCAAAATAGCTGTGCTACTCAATTCACAAAAAATCTTGCTGCCTTTTGGACCTTCTAGAGCAATGCCCTGGTGAACCACAAATTTATTAAAATGCCCTTTTTACAAAGATAAAGATATATCTATTCAACGTATCAGAAAGTTCTTCCTTCTTTGCATGATTCAGCTAACTAATTGTACCTGATTCTCAGTACAGGTTCTGTTCCTCAGACAATTCCTATCTTTCAAGGTTTTAATCATAAAGTATTCTAGATCTAAGAAACTCCTTTCTTTAATTCCTCCCTTCCTTCCTTTTTTTCCAGTCCATATTCACTTTGGAGGGCCATTCAAATTCAAGTGATTCTCTTTCCTGTTATATAAATGTTTAGTCTTTACTCTCCAATAAACATTGCTGAACTCTGGAAATACCCAGTATCAGTCCTTGTCTAAACAGTCTCATCCATCTGATTAACAAGCTGTAAATTTAGCTGTAGAGTATTCAGATTTTTTAAGAATCAGCAGTCTTTTAACTATATTATAAAGTGCCATTTAGATTATGCTTTTAGATCCAAAACAAGTTTAGATTCTAGTTCTTATTTTCTTTTTTTTTTTTTCTGCCTTAATGAACTTGTGCTCCCCTTAGCTCTGACTTTTGGAGGAAACAAAAAGCACAAGTATTTTAATAGAAAACGAAAATAAAAAAAACCCTTACCTTTTTTGCAGTAACTTGGAAATCAAAATATTGGTTCCCCCCAACTTTCTAAACAGTTTTCACTCCACGGAAGTTTAGAGAAGTTTCAATAAATACATGGAACTTTTATACATTTGGAATACCTACAAGGCCTCCACTAGAATCAACATTAACAATTGAATTTGAAGCCTGAACTCTTTCTGTATCCTGAACTCTTTTTTCAAATAGACGTGTTCTGCCTTCTAAATGCAAGATGTTCTAAGTTTCTCCTCATTTTTCTTTTTACTGTGAAAACTGGGAAGTAGTAAGTTCCCTGAGATCCCACAGAACTCAAGGGTTCGGTAGATTCTAAGGTTAAAAACATGATTTCAGCAGTTACAGTATCTCATTATCATTCAGATTTCAGAGAACTGCAGCCTTTTCCTGCAAATTCAGTGCATGAGAGACATCTTTAATGATCTGAAACTACCTCACAGTAGTTCCTTTATTATTTCAGCATAAAAGATACATAAATGAAGACTAAAGTCAAATTCTGTATCTACTAGCTGATGTACACCATGGTCTTGCCAATCTTCACTAAGAGCTGATTTTAGAAAACTGTCTTTTGCTTCTATAAAATAGCGATATTTTGATTCCAGAAACATTAACTATGATGCTTTCCAATCCTGCAAAGGGAAAAGATCTGTTATAACAGTGTCAGTATTTTTTGCCTGTTACTCTCAAGGCTTTTGCTACCCAGGGAGTAAAAATGAGTTTTTCCATTGCTAATACTTGCAGTTTAATTAAAAAAACCCAGCAGGGAACTTATGCTTGTGAAGCCACGATTGATGTCATTTCATGTGACACTGTAAATGGAGAGTTCTTGTGTCCCTCATACTGTACCTCAGCCAGCAAATCTAGGAGTCCCTTGAAGTCACTGGAAAGTTTACAAAGCTCATCCTCTGTCTTTCTGGCCTCCAAATCAGGACATACTGTGGTCAAAACAGCAAGTCTAGATTTCAGCCAGCTGTGATTTTCTCCTTGCTTGTTAATGTGCTTCCTAATTTCCTATGGAAGAATCAAAACATGTTTTCTTCAAATAAACAAAATATATTAACGTGTGACATCAAAGATTAGTGGTGTAAACGTACTACCATTGTTCTTATCTTGAAACACTAGAAACATAGTATTTTTCTATTTGCATACCCTATCTGATTCTGTTCCAGTCAATGGCTAGATTTTTGCATTTCCTCCCCAGGTTTTGCTCCACTACTACTTATTAGACTGTTCTTTAACAAGTAGTAGCCGAGTACATTTTTCTCACAAATGAACATTTTTAACTACAGATAGATAGGCAGGTAGTAGATGCCATGTATATATTTTCTATATATTGACCAAATTTCTTAGTTACCATTTAAATCTTAAATGCTGACTTTCCCAAATGTAAAATTTCACGACAGAAGATTTTGTGTATTTTTTTCCCCTATTTAAATAGCTCTGTTTTCCCTCTTTTCAGCCAGTAGTTAATTTATATCTTTGTGCCAGTGCTGGTGAGAAGTTGCCAGCACTGAAACTGCATGAGTAAATAAGAGTTTTTGGAGCAGAACCACCCATTAAGCTAAAGGTCTGTCTGCTTTATCAACGTCATCCTAATTATTTTTCTCTGCACAGCTGGCCTCATAACCTGCTTATGACTGTCACATAAATTCCAACAGTATGTGACATTCCTATTTTTGTTCCTCGTATGTGAAATAAAAAAAAAAAGAAACAAGGGACAAGTCAGGTATCAAGCGACACAATAAATTATTGCCTAAAACTAATTTAACCAAATCTTCAATTATTCTACCACTTCTGTTACCAGCCACCAATGCAAAAGCAAATAGTAGAATAGCTTTGCCTCCCCTATTGTACTATCACATTATCGTAGCAGGGAATTTTTATTATAGAAGGTTTGCCTAAATGTAAGACAGTAACTTAATCCTTCAAAAACCAGAAATGTTGGCTTTTGTTTGCACAGCACTTTTAACTGTGGACACAGCAGGATGAGGGGCAAGTATTTATTCTATCTGCCTCTATATTCTTGATGTTCTGAATATACAGGTAAAGGGACATGCCATTCTCAAAATTATTAAAAGTAGGAAGTTCTGCCACACTTTGCTGCATGTGGAACTTTCTCCTGGAAATGTTTTTAAGAATATCAGCTATCAGCAGAGCTATTATGGTCTCCATAGTAAAAAAGTTGCACCACAGAACACAGTTTTATCCAGATTCCCAGTAGCAATCACCATAGCTTTTTTAGAATATAAGCCAAGGGCTCACCCCCACAGATGCTTTACACTGCTTGTATTTGGCAGTATCATTGACACTTTGCTTTATCTTCTTTAGCTCTCTTTCTGTTACTGAAATCCAATTTGCCAATTCAGAAAATCTGAAATAAAGATCACATAATGCAAAACAAGGAAAAAAGTTAGACGAAAATTGCCACCACCAAATGATAACCTTAAATTTAAACCAAAAATTATAAAATCCACTCAAAACCCCACTGTAATTTGTGGAATTACTACGTAAAGTATAGTTTTCTGCTCAAAGCTAACAATGCAGTATCATTCTTTATGTGGTACTGATCTATGGTGACATTTAGAGGAGTGACCACACATAAGACTCTACGGCACCCAGCTAACAATTGAGCTGACACCTGTTCTTATAGCCCTTCCAGGTGTCCGAGTGCTCTGTTAGCTTCATGTATGTGCTGTCTATCTGGGATTTGAGTTCCTTCAGGATTCGTTGGCTGCTTTCCAATGTAGCCCTCACTGGATCAGAAACTGGCAGTTTTTGGCACAGTTCTTCAATCCTTTGTAGCCTTTTCGCACACAGGTGGTAAGGTCCCTTGTCACCGAAGAACAACTGATGGGAGACAGCAGAAAATTCAATAAAACTACAAATTGGCAGAAAGCACAAAGCATATCTACATATCTGTTATAAACTGTACTAGGCTTAGATCAAAATTTTTGTTAAAGGCCCCAAGAACTGATCTGATTTAGTTGTGCGGAGTGTTTGGTGGCTTAAGAGTTGGTCAGACCTTTTGTTTATTATTGACATTGAAATGCATTTCTGTAAATGCCCACGTGGTGGCATATAATTCATACCGTGTGTTCCTCGATCATCCTTTCATTGACTTCTCTTGATAAAACCTTGTTCTGTCGAGCTAGTTCAGCTTTGCATTCCTCCACACTGACCAGGAACTTGCTTTTCTGTACTTCTATCTTCAAGTGGATCAAATGATATGGGGCTTCTGTTTGAAGATCCTACACACCCACAGGGGCAATAAACAAGCACAGAGACAAAACACTACTCTCATTACCTCAGTGTGAAGTTACTGCAAATAAATTATCTAAAACCTGCTAATATAGAAAATAAAGCATATATATGCACGAACAGATGGGGCTTTCTCCATACTCAGTTAATAAAGCAACTCTTTTACCAATATCTCTTAGATATATCATAAGGTCGTAAGTTTTTTGGGGACCAGAATGTGTATGTATAAGGGACATTACACAGAGATCTTGATTCCTGGCAAGATATACCAAATATTTCCTGTATAAAATAATAAAGCAAACTGTAACAGTGAAACTATCTTCACAACTGCTTCCAGAGGTTCCTGTTTGTGTGCTAGTGAGAAACCACTCATCCATCACTCCAGCTTTGACCTGCAACATGCTGCAGCAGGCAAAAAATTCCATAGCTTACTAGCAATGTTTGTTCAGTTGTTAGAGCCTTTGGCAGAAGACACAATTTAAACTGATAGCCTGATCCCTTACAATTTTTTTTTTTTTTTTTTTTAAGGCTGGGAAAGTAACTGCAATCATCCAACATTAGCATAAAGTAAGAAAAGCTAGCACCTATTCTCAACAAATGTTCTTAATGCAGGTATCGTTATGGCTGTATATAGGGGGAGAAATAAAGGTTTCATAATTAATTTCTCACATTTCTTAACTTTTCAGTACTTAACAGGGCTTTTTCAAGAGGGTATTTGCAGGTGTAACTGTATCTAATGTTGTAAAATAAGTTTAGGGTTTTTTCTAATTGTATAGGAAGACAAATAATACAACTTTAAAAAATCTATTTTATTTTATTTTTTTTGTACATACAGGTCATGCAGAAATATTCTGTAGTTAAGACTTACAATTTCCGGAGACGACATTCTATGTCACTAACCTTCCACTGCCTATGGAGTTTTCTCACAGCTTCCTGCAGGTTGTGTTGCTCTTGTTCTGGGAGGATGTCAGTAAGTTCATCACAAGCTTTCAGAAAGGCATTTAGGACTCTCTGATCCAACTGGTTAAAGAATTCCTAAAGTTGAGGTGGAAAGTAAAAAGATGAGAAGATGAAGCTGGTTATTTATATGGTAACCTGCCAACGTGAGGTTTCCTAACATACTGTAAGTTTCAAGGTTACTTCTGCTGCATTGAAGAACTGAACTTTGAGCTATTTCTACCTATTTAAAGTCCAGAAAGTTAATTTATTCTCAGCCAGTACACTGGGATGGTATTTTAACAAAAATACATTTCAAAGCTACATGCATAAGTAACGGTTATAATACAGATATTCATCTGAAAAAGAAAAAAATAGGAGTGAATACGTGAGAGTAGCAAAATGTAGTGTCCTCAGTCCCAATAGGTCTACTGGCAAAAGCAACCCTAATTTCTAGGGGTTCTTCTCTCTTCACCTTTTGGTTGCTTACATTCATCAATAACAGGGGTGATCTTTTTTCCTTTCAGTTTTTCAGTCTTACAATCAGTTTGACCTGATCCGTATAACTTCTAATTATAAATATAAATTTAAAAATTAAGTAGGTTTTTCACTTGCATGTCATGCACTCAAAGATTTCCATGAGGAACGTCAGAGAATTTACTCACGCTATGTTTCCTGAGAAGTTCTTCAGGATTTCCTTTTTCTTTTAAGCAACAATTGGCAATCTGTATTACATTCTCCAGTTCTGCTCTAGACTCCTCAAATTTCTTCATCAAACGGCTATTTGCTTCTATGTTTTTTCTCCAGTCACCAGCTTTCCTGACCATATTCTGAGTTATAAGCAAAGAAAATGAGCTGGCACTTTCTCATTGATTTTTATTTGCTCTCTTTTACCATGATGTTACAAAAAATGCATTTGATTGGTGTCACTCTTGCAAGTACATGCCGTTCATAAGTGATTCTCCCTTTCATGCTCCCATTTTCCCAATTTCTAACACTTATACTAAGGTTTGTGTTAATGTCATCCTTCATTCACATAAAAATGGGTAGCTATCTAATACAGCTGTCTCTGATACCTTCAGAATGCCTCTGCCATTTGGCTAGTGTTTCCTTCCTAAAGCCTGCTTTCAAATGTATGGCTAAAAGCTTGCCATTCCATTTTTCTTAGCAGCAGGCTACCTCCTCCTACATGACTCTACATGAAGGTGGCTTGACCTATGGATGCGACCAGTTCCATGTTACAGGTCTTCTGACCTGGAGGAGGTTTGCATGATTATCACACTAGTAGGCCAGATAAGCAACCAGGTAGAAAGCCACTTAAGAGAAAGACAGCAAATTTTGTGGTTTAGTTGCTACTCTGAAATCCTTTTGTTTTGAAACCTTAGTTGCAGTTCTTTGTTACTCTGCTTTGTAGTTTGCTCCCCTGCACCGCCTTACCCAGTGGTTACAATTCCATAAGCCGGTAACAAAGTTTACCAGGACAAATGAATAGTTCACCAGTTCAACTGCAGCAAGGTAATTCCAACAATTTGCAACTTTCTATATTCACAATCCACTGCATTTCCTGAGGAAATACAAGGCCCAACAGTAGCAGCATTTGCAAAAGCTTCCATCTTCCATGCTTTGAGTGAAAGGGGATGTATGGGAACACAGAAGCAAATAATTAGCCAAGACAACAAAGTCAGGAGAAACAAAAAACAGCGCAGCCCTAACAGGTGGATTTCAGGTTCCTCCTTCCTAAGGAGCCCAAGACGTGTGAAAGTCCTCCTTAAACCACAGGTTCCTCTGAGGCAGGCTCACCTCTGAATAACTGCATGGAGAACATGACTGACGGTCCCCTGACCACTTAGTACCTAATACAGACAAATCCTTAATTAATAACTTGACACTAGAGAGGAGAGCTCTCTACGACAGTATCTACAGAGTGATGAAATGGAGATATGGTAGGATGGATCAGCTGCATATAAACAAGATTTCAAAAATATGCATGAAGGTGTGACATAATTACCTGAAAAGTAATCTGAACTTGTGTAACTTTCTTCTGAAATGTTGATTGATGGAAATGCTGTAACACTTCACTCGAAGCCACACACTGCAGGATACTCTGACTATTTCTCTCAATCAGGGACAAATCTTTCTTGCAGTTTTCTTGATAAGCTACCAAATCCTGAAAGAAAAAAACATATATCCACCCTGGCCAGGAACAAAGGAGAGAAAAGTTTGGAAAAATAACAGGAAGATATTTTTTTAGACAATAAGAACAAAAGGGACGAGGTCAAAGCACCATGACAAACAGATTGCACAAAATGTTATATGGAATAACAGAGACGACACAACTTTCTCCTTGTATGCATAATTCTGCACCCAAATAGAGCTCTAGCTATCGATAAAAAAGACACAGACATGTATCCAAGCCTTTCGAATAGTTTTAGAGAATGCAGGTCAATACATTATTCTGTGATTTAATTTTATGGGATTTCTATATTTATTGTATAATTCTAAGTAGGCAGCAGTGAAAACAATAGACAGAAGAATGGCAACTCTCAGTAGCAGGTTGAGATGTTAACCTCTCTTGCCTTTCAACAAATTAACCTTTCATATCAACTACTAAAATTCAAATTTCATTACAAATGGCATTAAGTAATGAGAATTATACTTTTTTTTAAAAAAAAAAAAAAAGAGGAAAGAGAGAGAGAAGAAAAGAAAACATGCATGAAGTGGCACAGGTTGAAAAAAAAGGTTTAAAAAATTCCTGTGGTGAGGAAACTGTTCTGCTATTGAAGGAACACCATTTCTCGGCACAAATGTCTGTTTACTCTCTGATGAGCAGAAACCAGCACCGTCCATATAACTGAGGACATTTTGGTTCCTTGGTTGGTAAATAACTGCAGAAGAAACATGTCTTTTTATTGTGACATTCTGGAGCAGGTTAACCCTCAGAAGCAGAGGAAAAGAGCAGTCTTATGAGCTGTTCCTTAACCTGCAGGTTGGACACATGACTCAGCTGGTGTTCATAAGCAGAAGATTTACTTGGGAAGATAAATGGGCTGGCTTGATTCAAACTCACCAGATCATTTTTTACCAAAACGCAATAAAAGCTTGAAGTCACTGGAAGAGCAGACCCTTCTTTTTGAACTACTGGGCTAATCTCCAGAGTCATTATAAGCTTGAACTAATTATATATATATATACACACACACAAAATTAAATCTCTTTGTTCCAATATTATTTTTTTTTTTTTTTTGGCAAGGGACTCTGGCTTTGGAATACTTCAGTTTCCCATTAAAAAATCAGTTTAATTATATTACCTGTCAAAACCAGCTCTAATGAAGTGTGTACATCAATTTTGAGGGACTATTTCTAGGTTATATACCACACATACACAATGAAAAATGCCAGTTCCTATGCAAGACCCTCACATTTTCATTTATTTTTCATATGAGTTTTGACTAGCTCTGAATTTCTCCAGAATGAAACGTTTACTGGTCAGGTAGAAAAGTTAATGTTCTACTACAATGCACTTCAAAAAAAACCACTTCCAGACTTCTGTAATTGTCCAAGAAAACCTAGGGAAGTTCCTGATCATGTTATTTCATCTGCTTCATAAAAAATCCAATGTATTTCTGATACTTCAGTCCAATTTCCACCAGATTAAAAAAAAAAAAAAAGTGTCTTATATTTAATTTATTTAATTCTTCATTTGAAACCACGGGCACTAGGACGGAACACAAGTTTCAGTCTTTGTATGTTTATGCCTAGCTGACTTTAGGATAGGCTATGTTTGTTGCCTGAACATCAATAAATATTTGCTCAGCTTACCAAGGTGCAATCCGAATTCCTAGAAAGCTAATTGCAAATACTCAGAGCAGCAGATCTTTGTAAGAGGTTTTTGAAACTTACTTGGGCTTTTTGTTTAAGAACAGTTGTGGGTTGTGCTTCAGGATCCAGGATAGAAATTATTTCATTGACTTTTTCAAGAGATTCATAGAAATGTGTGATTTGTTTCTCCAGTTCTTCCAGTGGAGACAGTAGACGCTGGCATTCATACAGCAGGGCACAGGAATACTCCTTAACCTTTTAGCCATTTTTAAAAGAAATAATTATTAAAAAAATTTAAAATTCAATAAATAGCAGCTTCCTCTGCATATGAATTAATACAGTTGTTACCTGCCTCTTTTAAGATAGATCAATTCTGATCCTATATTACTTCTTAAAGAAAAGAATATTAAATTCATGTATGGTAGTCTTAAAGTCTAAAAGAAGTAACATTTTCTCCACCCTGAATCAACCTATTGTTACTATAGCTATATATTTTCTCAGATGCATATATCTGAACATTTATGTAGTGGAGGTTACATTCATTATTCAACAGTCAACAACATGCGCAGTAGAAAAAGTAATCTGCAACCTTGCTCAGCTGCTCTTTGATCTTTGTCAATGTTCCAAGCATTTCGTTCACTTCCTCTTGGGAAACTTCTTTTTTAACAAGTTGTGCTGTTCTTGTAACCATTTTGTACTGAGCTTCCATTGCAGGCAATTTCTGCTTAATATTCTGAAACAAATATTTTGAAAATTACTTCAAGAAGAGAATTTGTGCATTCATGGGAGATACAAGTCTGTTCTCAAGAGATAAAAGATATATATTGCAATTATCAGTTGTTTTCATTACTGATTTTAGTGAATACCGGGTCAAATGTGTGAAAACCGTGCCAAAGGGTATCGCTCGTCTCACCTGAATGTGATTTGAAACTACACAGAAAGAAATATCCTGTGGGACGGTATTTTGGAACTGTACTTTAGAAATGTCCCTCATAGAATACAATGATTTATATTGGCTGTAGCAGAAATTACACAAAAAGCACCACTGGTAAAAAAAATTGTAATAATGAAAATGTATACTAAAATAATGTTATGCTCTCTCATTTGAGGGAGAAAGAAAGGAATGGAAGGAAGACACTTACTTCTAAATCTTGTATAAACATTTTCACATCAAGAAAGGACACTTCTACAGGGACCAAAAACTTCCTGTTGCTTCCGTCAATAAAAGCTGTCAAATGGGCAACACCATCCAGGTATTCCTTCCTGATTTTGTCCAGTTCATCTGCTCGAGCATACTAAGAAAATGTAAAGTAAAATGAAACAAACAAAAGAATAACTACCCCAAATAAGATATCTGGCAATTAAGTAATGACTTACGAGAATTAGCATGTTTTCAGTGCAATTGTTTGCTGGAAAAACTGTACTCAACAAAATACAAATGAATGGAAACTCATCTTCGAAATTGGTTAGACACTAATTGTCTGCATTAGTGTCAACAGTGATGATACTAAATAGAACAACATTCATACAAGAGGTCAGCCTTTTTTTAAGGTTTGGATCATTTGGAGAACACCAGACTCTCTGTTGTTTCTAACCTAGAATCAACATCTCAATTCGCTTCTCATTACCTACAGTATCAATTTTGAAAATTCAGCAAAGATAATAGAACATGAAAAGCTCAGAAAAGCTGAAGGATAAATAAAAGAACTGCTGGCTGGAGGAAGGGGAAACACAGCTCTGAGAAAGTGGAAAGAGCTGTATGACAGAAATGGTGAAAAGCCAATGAGAAAAACCATACAGCCAGCACATGAAAGAAGCTGCATAAGTAGGGGAAGAGACATTTACATCCTGGGCATTAGTGTTTCCACAGTGAATCCTCCTAAATATCATCAGCAAATAAAGCTTGAGAACATTCTAGTTAACAGTTTGGAAAAGTTACAATAAAAAAAAGGGATAATTATTATTTGCTTCTCCATTTAATTTGACTGTAATGGAAATAATCATGCCAGTAAAGAAAATAGATTCGGCATGTTCAAATAGGCAGCTGATATTTAAAAATCACTGGTAGAGGAAAATATCATTAGATATATATTGACTACAGCAAAGATACTTCCTAACGTGTTTATGAGGTGTGAAAAACTTCTCTGTAATTTAACTCACATCTTCTCTTTGCTTTTTAAAGAGCAAATCTAAAAATAACAATTCTTTTCTAATTAGTTGAATCTCTTCCATGAGATAAAGGATATTTGCTGTCAGTGCCTCCTTGTGCACAAGATAGAAGTAATGTCTGAGTGATTTGGGGAAACCATTTAGTAGATTAACTTGTATTATACCTATTTATTGTTGCAGTATAATAATTGAATGCAACTTTCATTAAAGAGGGCTAGAAATTTTCATTTTCATCATTTTCACTGTTTAGTTTTACAGAGGTTTTAGAATCACAATAGCTACTTATGACCAATCATTTTTTTCAAAGAACAGTAAAGGATATGCTTAAATAATATTCTCTGTATCAAGACAGGAGACCATAAAGAAAAAAAAATACAGCTTATACTAGCTGAGAATGTCCAAAAATGAAAATAAAAAGCTGTATAACCAAAAAGATAAACAAAGGAAAAGCTCCAATAAAATAAACTGCCGTCAGTGACTCATTTCTAATTTAAATAACAGAGAACAGTTAGACACTTTAGTAAGTTGTCCTATAGTCCCACTAGTGGGGCAAATCTGTCTTGTTTGCATGGAAATGACAAAGCAAATATTTAAAAGTAACAACAGCAAAACCACATACCTGCTTAACTTGCATAAACAATTCTCTCCATCTTCCATTTAGTAACAGAAGCTGCTGTTTAAGGTCTCTGGAAATGGTCTCATCACATGTTTCAATCAGAAAATTACCAGCATCATTCATGGCTGTGTGCTGTTGGATCCAATGAGGTAAGTGCCGGAAGAAATCCTGAAAAAGAAAATGAAAACACCTTTCCGAAACCTTTCCAATTACTCTTTGTCTTAAATCATGAAACAAAAATTTAATCACCAGCTAATGGCTTGATAAAACTCTTTGAACAATTATCCTCTGAAGCTCCTCATATTTGATATACTGTAATAGAATTTTAATGCCTATGAACACAACCTATAGAATTAAAAATTACCACCAGTTCAGTTACAGCTCATTTTATTCCAGTGAGTAGCTTCAGTTAAACTAATGGAACGCCTCCTTAAGAGAAAGGTCCATAACTGAAAACACTGTTAGGGCTCATCGAATTTCTGTCTTGTCTTGACACACTATGGGCTGATAGTAACCTAGGCCATACACAGACTGTAGAGAGATTCTTCCCCTAATGTGAACCATATGCAGCTTTCCAGGGTCTGGAGCGCCAGAAGACCTGAGAAGACCAATTCTTTACTACTGTTTCCTCCTATCTTAGAGTAGGTGAGTGGGGAGGGGAAAGGGTTGGTTGTTACTGATTTTTGCCCCCTATTCCAGTGAGACAACCTAAATAGCCCAGCCATAGTGCCAAATGCTTCTGTGCATCTTGTACACAGCTACACACACGTAAATTGGTACAGAAGACAAAGACCTGCTCCCTCCCTTCCTTTTTGCTCTTCAAGAGGATGGGAAATTGTTCCTAAAGCAGGTATCTCCAGGCACTATGACTACAGCTATACCAGTAAACGAAACAGGACTCAACCACTGTGCTACGATTGTCCACGTCTTCTCTGACATGGTTTTGGCTTGTCCCTGCTACCCTTCTCTCAAACAATGCATAATTCAATGGATGGCTCATGGCAAGGATTGTTCCCAATAGACTGAATCATGAGGTCAACTTCTTTCAGGGGAGAAAAAGTAGCCAAAAGGATGCAAGCTGAACCATGCCACGTGGTCCTGAGGACTACGGAAAGGGCACTGACCCAATTTATTTACCCTATAATTCCAAGACTGTTCATGTGACAGTCCCATGCAACCCTTTGCTCAGAGGTAGATGTAAAAAAGTCCTGTCCAACTGTACTGTCATCCCAACTTTCAAAGCTACATTTCTGAAACTTTATAGTTTATACTTGTCAGAAATCATCCACATGTAAAAACAGTTCTGATAACCAAAAAGAAAATGTCAAATGGATGTAATAGTGCACAATTTTGTTGAAGAGAGAATTGAACACCACAGCGTTTTAAATTCCTAGAGCTGAGATTAGTAGAGTACAGGCGCTCTGTACTGATGTAACCATGAATAAACTTATCTCAGTAAACTCTATTTGCAGTTTGAATCTTCTGCTCGCAGTGGTGCACAACTCTTGATTTATGCAAGGGCTACCCTCTGTGAGCACACACAAAAGAAACTAAGTCTACTGAATCTGGTACTGGTCAGTTCTCCAGTGGTCAGGCTTACTAGAGGTCAAGAAGGAAAAAGCACATGGTGTAAACTACTCATGCCCTTGCTCCCGCACACTTATTCCCACAAACCTTTACCTTCCTCAGACACTGCTGGGGAGTCTCCATTTCAGAAGCCAACCTAAAGCATGTGTAAAATTTGGACAAGTTTGGAAGATATGGTGAAGCACACCTCATTCTCAATTAAAATAATGCAGCTCTTTTTAAGGAAGTCGCCACATGAGGTCTAGGAGCCCTTTGATACCCTTTGGATACAGCTATTGGAGGAAGGTGTGGGAGAGCACAGTTACAAGGGGGGGTATGATGGGAAGCACGTAAGAGGCACTACAAGTAAATAAAGGAGTTGTAGAAGGAGTGCTTTTTTCATTAGTACTTATTTACTGTTAAATTAATGCTTATCTACTGTTACATTAATACTTATTTACTGTTAAATTTCCAGTATTTTGTGGTAGAAAAATCCAAGCGCACACTGATCTTTTTTGCAATATCTTGTGTGGTACAGGTTCACAATAAGGTTTCTGAAAACAGAACCCAGTGAGAACGTGAACAAGCCACTTCCATTTGCAAAAAGAACAGTGGTACTTGCTGGTCTTGAAATCATACAGAGATAATGGAAAGAAGAAAGCACGACAGCATGGTAAGGGGCTGCTATGGTCTTTGCCTAGGATAGAATATGGTGGGGTTTTAGTAAGACAGGTAAGGTTTGCAAATGAGCGTAAAAGAAATCTTTGTATCTTATTACTGATATATTTGTGGTTTTACAGAATAAATATTTGGAAATCTTTAAAAAAGTGTTATGCCATATTCCAAGCAATAGTTATCATCTTTCACCTGGGATTCCAGATGCTTCTGCTAATGGCTGTATGACTATTAATTGTACAAACAAATTAAGTATTGCTTTTGGTTTTAATAACCAGATATTAAAACTGCTAAATCAGAACTATCCTTGGAACTATCCAAGTGAACATTATTGCTGTGGGGAGCTGGATTTAGCACTAATAGAAGTAAATTTTAAAATATGTATCTCAGTCTACAGGCAGATCATATTACCTCTCAGTAACATTTAACAGTTTTGAGCCAATGTAATTTGGCTTCTTCAAAGAAGAAATTAGCATTTGGGGAAGAATAATGCTTTCATGTCTAAGGTTTTCAACACGGCTTTTTGAAACTCTTCATATATCAGAACAGTAAGAAGTACTTGTTGGATTTATATTAGAAATTAGAAGCAAGTATATACTGGATGGATATGTTCAGATTTCTGCTTTGAAAATTTTTAAAAGTTATAAAACTTATCAGAGAAGCAAATATTTTTATTTTATTCATATATATGGATATAAGAATACTTCATTTTAAACACTGACAAGTTACTTAAAACATACACAAGGAGCTAAGATCAACCTGATCAGTGGAGGTGATTTATGTGTATTTAGTGAATTATTTTCACAGGTTTATTTTTATTTTAAAAGTGTATTCTATTCTTTTACATCAACTTAAATTAACAAACTTTCACCAAAAATTATACTGTTCTGTCATGTAACATGAATTGCTCTTTCCTCACCTGATGTCAGTTTGACAATTTACAATCTATGAAAACTATACTTTGGTGTCAAGACCTGTATAGCTGCTACATTGGGATTGGGTGAAAATTAAATGCAGTATTATTCAAGTCAATCTGGGTCATTATTGAATTTTTACAACTATAAATCTTAATGCCTCAGTACTCTAAGATTAGAACAGAAAAAAAAGACAGCAAAACTATCTTTGTGACTGCAGGTCCCCAAAAGGAACCATCTAAAAGATTTCTAAAATTCCAAGGAAAGGACTAATTACTTACCCATCAAACTTAACAACACATTTTAATAATGTTGTCTTGCGAGGGCAACTAGTATTGAAATCTGTCATCTATATGGTAGAAAAATCAGTGGAAAAATAATTTTCTTTAAGTGTCTTTATACGCTGCACATGACTATGCACTTTGGTGTTAAGAGCTGTGTTTGCCTTTGAGTGAATCATGTAATGTTCCTATCTCTGAGCAATACTGCTGCCCCGTATTCATGTCAAAGCTGCCTCTAACCATATTATCACAGATGATGCCTTCCTTCAATGCGTGAATATGTACATATGTCTGTACACCCTATATGCGCAAACGTTGAAACGCCTATGATAAATGCAGACGGTATGCCAGAAACTGAAAAAATCTCTCCCTTTGGTATGACATTTTGCAAAATAATCTAAACAAATGCAACTTCCATAATTTACAAAATAGCCACACGTATATGCTATTAGTGCATACCTTTTTGGAATGTTCAGGTTGATTCAGCATTTTTTCAGCATCCTCTAGCCAAGCTTGTAGACCTGCCACAGTGCTGCTATATCTGTCCCAATTAGAAATTACTTCTTCCAACATGCTTCTTACACTTCTCACCTCTACCGATAGGTTCCTCCACTGTGCTGTTGTTTCATTCATGAATTTCATCACATTCTCAACTTCTTCCACTGAGATACAGAAAATATATTGATTATTTTGGTTCAGTAGTATTTCCGTAAAGCCTAATTTTATGTTATGTTTCTCCATTCTAATCAGGGAATTCTATTTTACTGCAACTTCTATTTCAGTAGACTTTTATATACATATGCTTCGTTCACAGCCCAATTTTAGTACAAAATTATGACTGAGAAGTTAAACCTGTGAATTAAAGACTGAGAAAGTACATAACATGAGTGCTATATTAAAACAGTCACACTGCATATTTAAAGTGGTGTTCATTTCTAATCTGTAATAACAGAAATCAAGAGAGAAAGTTTCCTTAAAAAAGCAGAAAATAATAAAGAAGTATAATGTATGAATACATAGTATGTCTGCATTGAAAATTACTGAATGAAATTCTGATCTTCCTTCCACTGAGCGTAAAACCAAACTGCTGCTAATTTTTAACATTTAATTGTTAGTATTTTCCTCATGGCAATAAAGGAACAAATGTGTCCTCATTTCAGAAGCAAAAAAAAACAGAGAGAAAAAAAAGGACTCAAGCAAATCCTGAGACTTCATAAAACATGCAGAATATAGATAATTTAAAAAAAAAAATTAGCTAAGTTGTCCTCTAATTTGCACTGCTGTTTCTGAATTCATATAAGTGAGTAGCTGCCCTTTAGAAAATAATTTGTTATTGTATTTTTCAATAGCATGGAATTTTATTCTTTGTAAGAATACCTCATAAAAATGTTTACTTGTGTAAAATTTGAGTGTCACCATCATCAACTTAAATTTCACAACAAAAAGAGATATCTATTTTCTCTCTGCATCTGCTAACCACTTTAGCAGCTGTAGCAATCCTCCACAGACATCAATGTATTATCTCCTCAGCAGAGATTAAAGCGATCTCATGTTTGTAACTATCTAGGTCAAATATTGCCCTCATGCATTCTCACTGAACTCCGCAGTGTTCAGGAATTACAGGAGGCAGCTGTTGAATCAGCTACACAGTCTTCTCATGTATATCCATAATTCAACTACCATTTAGGTTCCTCTTACAGGTTTTCACAGCTAATGAAGAATCTTCAGTAGGTCAGGGAATACTTTTGCCGCTACAACAATACTGGGACACACTCTCTATTTGTCTTTTTTCTAGTAAAGGAAGCCAAGCCCAGGAGCATTTCCAGGCACCAGAACATGATCTTCCCTACTCCTCATTTGCTCTCTGGCACGCTTTTGGCCCCAATCAACACCACTGAAACAACGCATATCTTAGCACGGACTTCTCCCATTAGGAAGTCTGAACATGACCACCCTCTTCTGGAGATTACGAACTCTTAACAGCAGGAGTGCAGGCTGCTCTGTACCAGCTGGCTTCATGATAGAGAATATGTGAAACTGCTACCAGAGGCTGTAGCCCCTCTGGTGAACTGTGGCTGCTGTACAGCTCTGCTGCATAGAAGAAACAAATATTAGGAGATCTTTTCAGAGGATACTTATGTCTAAAGAGATTAAAACGGTGTCCCAATGACGAAAGAAACATGGGCATTTACCTGAGCCGTTTGCTTTGACGTACATTTCAGCTGCTTTTTTCAAGATCTGGTAAGTAACTTCATACTGCTCAAAGAACTTACTATTTTCAATAACAGACTGAAAAGAAAAAAAAAATACAACAGACAAAATAAAGGTAGATATTAAACATAAGGATAATTTCCATGAAATTACATCAGGACAGTGATGACAAATTTTAACATCATTATTCCTCCATTCATTTTTTTCATCATTACAAAGTAATATTTAATTTATCATCATTATAAAATAATATACAAATTTCACTTTTTCAAATTAATTTCAATCAAATTAATTACAGCAGTCTCCCTTGACAAAGACAGTTTATTTTCTTCATATATGGAAAGATTATTTAATACATTCTTAGTCTGCTAGTCGCTGATTTGCTGAAACTCGCTAGCATATGATACTTTGAATGTGCAGAAACTAAGCAATTAACTTAAAAGTTATTTAATGGAAACTGTTTTACACTGAAATCTAAATGAAATCATTTTAGTAAAAGAGCAAATTTCATCCATACAGGTCACCACAAAAATCAAATCCAGTTAAACTTGAAAAATTGTTACTGTATTAAGCCTTTGCAGAAAGGCAGGTTTCACTTTAAGAGATGAAAAACATTTGACTTATCCTTTAGTTTTCCTTTGTAATTGGTAAAAAAGAAGATTATAGAAACACTGAACAAAGAGATGCTGCTTTTCCAAAGTGTGACACAACTCTTTTCCTTTGTGAGTGATGTTTTAGCTGTGTACTGTGTTATAGCATGATGAATAATTTATCTGGAAATATCTTGGTCACAAAGTTATGGCTCTCTATCATTTCTGCCTCTTTATCCCTTATGGCAAATGACACTGACTTTTTTATGTCTTTCAGAAATGTTACTTCTTTTAAGTATGATATATAATTATATCTCTATATTATGGAAGCATATTGTATCTTGCATTACCACTGTCAAAAAAGAGAGAATTCACAGAATTCACAGAATTGTTAGGGTTGGAAGGGCCCTCTGGAGATCATCTAGTCCACCCCTCCTGCCAGAGCAGGGTCACCTACAGCACGTTACACAGGACAGCGTCCAGGCGGGTTTTGAATGTCTCCAGAGTGGGAGACTCCACCGCCTCTCTGGGCAGCCTGTTCCAGTGCTCCACTACCCTCAAAGTAAAGAAGTTCCTTCTCATGTTAAGATGGACCTTCCTATGTTCAAGTTTATGCCCATTACCCCTCGTCCTATCACTGGGCGCCACTGAAAAAAGACTACTCCCATCCCCCTGGCATCCTCCCATTAAGTATTTGTATGTATTAATAAGATCCCCCCTCAATCTTCTTTTCTCTAGACTAAAGAGACCCAAGTCCCTCAGCCTTTCCTCATAAGAAAGGTGCTCCAGTCCCCTAATCATCTTTGTTGCCCTTTGCTGGACCCTCTCCAGCAGTTCCCTGTCTTTAAAACATACTTTTTTACAGGGCTCTTATATTGCCTTATCTAATGTACTGATCTAGAGTTTTGGAATCATTTTGTCGTTTATACTTACTCTCATGCCTCCTCAGTGTCACATCTACAAAATTAAGGCAAGTACATCTCACATATGTCTACACAAGCTTTGGAATGCCAGAATAGACAAAATTCTATGTGTACTAGTGTGATTTTGGTAAAACCACAGGTCAAGGTAATGAGGTAAGGTCAAGGTAAAATGAGGTCAAGGTTCAACGTACTTTGAAGAGGAGAATTAGATTTTGTGCATTCATCAACCCACATTATATAACACGAAAAACAGTTTTAAAATTAATCTGCCAGCCAGTATATATCTAAAAATCTTCTATTTTAAAGCTTTTTACAGTTGCTATGTCAAATCACAGTTATCTAGTACGTAATTTAGAAATGTGTTTATAACCAAGGAAACTAGATGTCAAGGACAATCAGAATTTTTCTCTGTTCTACTGTAAGAAAAAATATCTGGCATGTATAAAAACTACATACTTTCTATGAATTCTGTGATAAACTCCCGACATTCCCTTTTGCCAAACCCATACTCACAGACACTTTACCCTCAACCAAAAACTGCAAGACTTCATATGAGAAAGTAAAAGACTGTATTAAACTGCTTATATAATACAGATCTCAAGAGCAATTGAAGATATTTTAAAAAATTAAATACAGATATTTTACTGATTAATATTGTCTCCCATCTGAAAAGATCCCTTAAAGAAAATATGTAGCTTTTCCCAAATCAGTACAGCATATGGTGCTTAAAAAGTGATAATACAGCAATGCCAAAACACAGTTCTGGGGATTAAAATCCATGGATAACTGTACCCAGTATCTCCATTACAGGTGAGACTTCAGTACAGTATACTCTTCAGGTTGATAGTGTATAATTTGTGCTGACCTTTACTTCTGCTATATGACAGATAGGTGAAAAGAAGATGGTATAAAGTAACAATCACTACTTGAATTTTTAAACTATGGTACATAAATATTTTCCAGGCATATGTTCTATCCAGATCCTAACTACGCATGTTCTTAGAATGCTGACATTGCTCAGTCTTCTTTGGCAGAAAAACAAACATTTTCATCTCCTACTAATATCGTCACTGACTATAAGGCACTGACTACAGCTTTCCTATGTAAGACTCCTAGTTTACTGGAAGAGTAACACTTGGCTCTTGGTCCTCAAAAATTGCTCCCAGGTAAGCCAAAGCAAATAAAGTTTCTCTCCATCACTGGACAGCTGGAAGGAGCCAGAAAGTCAAGGCCACCAGGAATGAAACCGAGCTCTATTTATCTTGTCCCAGTTTCCTCATTTTGATGCGATGCAGTTTCATAAGTGATGCGAGGAAGCATTTTCTTTCCCCTAACGACCGTTTCAGCATTAGTGGTCTGAAGCATAAGAATAATTGAGGCAATGGCAAAATAACATACAAATTCACCACTTAATGTTCTTTTTAAAGCAAAAAATAAGAAAGTAATACAAAATAATAATCCAAAACTCAAGCTATCCACTTCCTCATTATTTCCCTTGTTACCTTTTAGTAGTTTTTGCCACAGTCCTACACAGTATATAAATGGACTATAACTCCTAGCTATTGCACATAATGCTAGAAAACTATGTTATTTTAAATAACCATCTGAATTTCGCAAAGCTTGTGTAAAACAAGGCCTACCTCCTGAATTTTTATGTGTCCCTAACTGCTAAAGTTTAAACATAGAAAGGGAACAGCACGAACAGGTCTTCAATTCCCATTTTGTAGGGGAACTTCATTGAGTTTTAAGTTTTCTTCCAAAGCAATGAAAACTATCAGGCTATGGGGACATCAATAACCTCCTCTACACAGCGTCCTGGCTCTGAATGGTTCTATAACTGCACAAATTCTTTCCAAGCTGAATTTTCCTGTGCAATTTTCATCATATGGACTAAATAAAAGAGGAAAAAAGTATTTAGCCCAGTCCTGCTTTTGTAAGAATCCCTCACGCACTAATGTAGAAGTGCAGCAGTGGTACTGTTCTACCAGCCACTTGGCACTGCAAGTGTGGATTTAACAAGATACAGAAGCATAAGACAGAAAGGGAACATATCACTGAGCATTTGTAAGCCAATAGCCTCTGTTTCTTAACGTGATATATGCATGATGCAGAGCTAGAGCAATCTCTTTCCAGAACAGAAATAAAGTAATGACTTTAATACAATGCTGAGCAGGAGAAGAAAAATCACTCTTTATAAACTCTTTTTTAACTTCTTTTTTTTTTTTTTTTTTGCTTTTTCCTTCGTTTGGAAGACTTTAAAAAAAAAAAAAAAAGTACTGTGGGGGACTGCATGCCAAAACCTTTCTCTATCTCTACACTTAATCTGTGTATAGTCACTATGAAGTGCATCTAGGCAGTTGTAAAAAGACAAAATTAAGTTATTTGGAATTGCTATCTAAGGTAACTAGAAATCTAGGATTTGGAACCTCCAGATATGCTTGGTAAATTGATAGTCTGACAGTTAACAGCTGGGACATTATTTCTGTTTTTGAAGCGATGGTGCAAAGAGAATAATTTTCATTTGTAGCTTTTTGACTGAAGTTCCTCCATGGGGAAGACAGATTCACCTCTGAAAAGATATTTTATAAAGTTGACAACTGTCAAGTCTAATTTCTGTTTCTGTTCTTTTATTCATTTCCAGCAATCTTAAATATGAATATTTCAAAAAGAATTATAAAAAGAGGACAACCCCAACTTACGATATAATTTTGAAGAAGCAGTTCCACTGACTCTCGCCTTCCATATTTGATAATCCACGATTTTAACTTTGATTCTGCAAGGACTAAGAGTGACAGTAGACGATACTTCAGTTCCAGAAACTCCATCTTCAACAGATGGAGCTCAGATGAAGAGACAACAAAATTAAACCTATAAAATGAATCACACTGTAGTAAAATATAGCAATATTCATTTTTGCAGGAGAGACTGAATGCTTTAGTTACAGTTCAGATATTTTTCTAATCTTTCACCTAATTCAGAGTCTACAAACATTTAATTATGTGTGATGATCATACTGATGACTGCTCTTGAATAGCAAATTAATTACATTTCTATTTATTCATAGAAATCAGCACTTTACATCTGTTACTAAGTTTTGCAAAGTCATTTTCTTTCCTTTTTTCACATGCATCCTGGCTGCCGTTACATAACATTTCTTCCAGGGACAAGTAATAACAGGATCAATGTAAAAAAGTATTCCCTTCCAAAACCCATAGCTTATTTTGATTCTCACCAATCTTTAAAGTATCAGGCTTTTTTGGTATATTTTTATGCGTATTCTAGGAGGTTCTTCTTTCCAATTTTTTCATGCTTGCCACTGAGAAGCATAATTAGACCGTGATTTCTACACGAACAGACTAAAAAGCAAACAGGTTCCTTTCATTCACAGAGGATTTTTATTTCAGATTAAAAGCCTTACCTGTCTGCCATATCTTCTAATTGGTCAGGTGGAACAGGCACTCCGTTAACAGACCTGGCCCTGTGGATCTCATGGAATGCCTTTTTGTGACCATCTATGTTTTTCAGCAGATCCTGATTTGATTTTAAGAAAGAGAGAGAGATGGGGGGGTGAAAGGGGGGGGGGGGGGGGAAGAGAGAAAGCTCACAGTAGGCTATCCAACTAATAAGCACAATTTTAAGCCTGCACTGATGACTCAATGTAGTTAACTATTTGATCATGCTCTCACATTTGCATGCAAGGTTATGCATACCACAGAAGCATTTACATCAACTTGAACATTTACATAGGGAACCCCCTTATAAGATGCTCTGCTAAACCTGTGTATAATAATTGTGGAAGATTTTAAAACAGAAGATACGCTATAAAGATTTAACAAAACAAGAACTCTTAACCATATTAAATAATCCCTGAAATGCAGTCTGCTCATACTCTAACATCACAACAGCATAATCTTGCTAAATTTACTCTTTACATCTTTATAAGAGATACTAACCTTCATTAAGTATAGATTCAAATTTTCAGCAACTAATCTACTCCGCTATATATAGACAGAAGATCCATAGCTCCTTATGTAAGTACATATTCAATATTCAGTGAACTTTTCACTCTCTCAGCAACAAAAGGTTTCAGGATCGCTCTCTCCCTATTACACGAATGAATGCAGAATGTGGTACCCGACCTGTATTCCTGTGGTAAGAATTGTACCAGCAAAAACCTTACAGCAGAGCACATTTCAACTGTAACTAAGCAACACCGCTTCAAACGGCTTCCTGGAGATTACATATTAAAATGAATGACTGGCAGTAGTCTTTGAAGAGATACTGTAACAATAACACTTCAAGTCCCCGGCGGCTGAGAGGACACAGAACAGTGGGTATTTTACTGCATACAGACACAGGGTGCTCAGCAGCCTATTAGCAAAGGAAATCATGCAAAGGTCCCCCTTTCTCACCTAGGGGAACAAAATGCAGGCTTCTGTATTGATCACAGATGTCTATTTATTTCTACGTGCTGAAGCAGTGTTTCTCCTCAGTCAATGCCCAGTGTTTGCACAGCAGAAATTAATGGTAATTCACTGGCTCAGCTCTCCAAATGGTCCCACCATCCCCATCAACCCACCTATTGATTTCCACTTCAGCCAACACCTTGTTGTGAAGAGAAATGAACTAGGCTTTATCAGATGCAAGTGAGGCACTGATTTTACCGTGGCAAAAACTCCACTGAGGGTAGGTATGCTGTGACTAACATACTCTCCCATAAAGGAAAGATTTGGAACAAGTATTGCAGCTAGCTGCATTTGAGACCCTGCCAGCCAAAAGGGGATGCCCCTAACGTGCATTGGTAAGTCAAAATAAAACCCAGTACTTTCATCCAACATCAACTGGAAGCCCACGAAAACTTCATATAGTGTTCTCATGAAGTGAAATCCTGCTCTGCAAAATGACCCTCAACAAGCATAGATATTGGCCTTAATTTCTGGATCTTGGCAGCAATATTAACTAAAATAAACTTAAGTGCTTGCCTGATTCCACGGAGGTTTGCTCAAATAAGCTGGTACATTTTGTATTAGATTCAAAATGGCCATAAGCTAAAGTTCACTAAAATAACCCATTGTCAGATGAGACAAAGATATAGAGAAAGCGATTGTGTTATTTCAACAAAACCATAACAAACAAACAACAACTTCCTAGGACACAAGGACTGAAGATAAACCCCACTAATGCATTTCTGGTACCATCCAACAGCACATTAGGATTCATCAATGCAAATCTGAGCAACAAAACAAACTCTGGGAACAGATACAATTACACATGTTTCTCTTGAAGCTTTCTCCATCCCACTCCCATGGGAAAACTTCCCTGGCACAGACTAACCTAAATCAAAGTTTATTTGTTGGCATAGAAATCCCTCACCACAGCATTTCTGATGCAAAGAAAACACAGTTTAGGACACGCTCTTTTGTTTTTCTTATGAATGCATCTAAAGGAGGACTATACTGTTCACATTATAAGCACAAAAATGTTTGACTTGCTTTTTTTAAACAAATCTTATGAATCCTGAAACATTTGATGTTAACAAGAAAGCTAATGAAATTTAGCATACCAAGAGACTAGAGCTTGAAAGAAAATAGTATCTTCCTCAAATTTTAATATTGTGTTAGTTAAATTGCATTAGCTACCACTTAAGTTAGAAGAGTTGCCACTGTTCTAATAAAAATTAATGAGAAGACCCAACTGATCTTCCAGATAAACTACCATTGTCTGTCACAGCTATTCCAAAATGACCATGAAACTTATCAGCTTTTCATTATATGGCATTATTTTTCAACAAAAATCCACCCGTATCCAAAACACAAAAAATAACAAAACTACAATCAAGTTTTAAAATAGTAGCAATAGTAAAAAATAAAGCAATATAAAATACAGCCTTACTGGTGCAAATGCAGCCTTTCTCTACACCACCTTTTTCCTTTCTCTGTCATATTTACTGGTTAAGTTTCTTTTATCCTCTCACCAACAATTCCTCTGTATATTTTTCTCATATATATTACATAAACACACAGACAAACCTCACAGTTTTGATTTTAAATGAGATCTTGGACTCAGCAGAGAATAATGGCCTAGGTATTTAAATTCATCTGGAAAAGTTTCCTGTTTACCACAGCAGAGGGGACTTCTCATACTATTTGTCAACACAACTGTCATGGTTCCTCTGGACCGGCCACTGAAACGATCAACAGATGCTCTCCCCCATCTCTGATGTCAGTTTTGGGTCACCTGTCCTGTCCACTTCTCCCCACAGGTGTGACCCCTCTACGCTTTTCCGCTACCAACCCTCCAATGGGTCATATAGAAACGTGAGCTGCCTTGGCTGTTATAGCAATAAGGATAAGCAAGAGCCCCTCTGCATGCCATTCCTTGGCATAAATTAGAAACAATCAGGTCTTATCACTCTGGAAGCAGACAGTGTCTGAAAAATATGCTGTTAATTTCAGAGTTCAGTTAGTTAGAAGATGTTTAACTGAAAAGTAAAATTACTGAACAGAAAATTGGTTCTGTTTTACCTCAAAACAGCACAACAATGCTATGGAAATGCACTTCATTCTATTTGTCCCTCAGTGCAAATCACCTGCACTGACTATCAGCAAGCACACTAAGCATGTTTGCTCTCTCTCCCCTGTTTCACATTATTCAACCAATATGAAATTATTAGGTGTCCAGCTTACGAGCTCCCTATGGAATTTTACCCAACAGGAATCCTGGAATAGGGGAACAATTAAAATACTAATACCTGATGCCTTTTAGATAGAAGAAGCAAGAACATTCAAAAGTAATTTTGAATATTGCTTTTAAGATACACAGATAACACAGTTCAAGTCACCACTAAAAGACACCTAGCTTTAGCTACTATCAAGGTGACACCACCCCCAGACTCTAGAAATAATAAACTTTCTTTGTATAGCATGGATCATTTACAGCTTTGGAATCAATGAAATAGAATGCGCTGAACGAATGCATGGAGATCTACCTTGTGTTGTTCAAGCTTCCGGTGTATCGTGTTTGCTGTTTCCTCGTGAGTTTGCTGAACAGTTATGTCTTCCCTCAGAGCAGTCTCTGCTCTGTAGAGCCAAGCACCTATGGTACCCAAAGGTGCAGGAAGAGATTTATCAAGGTGTATGTGCCAATCAAGTAGCTAGGAAATAAAAGTAAAAGGATTCAAATTCCTTCCTTGCTTAATTATACAAAAAAATAACTTGAGAAAAATCAGATTTTATAATGTAAGACCAAAACCCCACATAACAGAGTATGTTTGAGACATAAACCTAGGTATATTACCTCACATTAGTTCTGAAATTATAACATCATACCAGGCAACAAAATATCTAAAAAGATTCGTTGATTCATGTATTTCTTTTCCAGAACGGTAACTGGGTTACAGAACTGACCACAGACAAACTGGAACAACTGAGAAGCTAAAGATCTGGAATTTCATCAGTTAATAGGCACAGCAAGGGATGTGAGACCTTCTTCCATCCAATGTAATTAATTTTGTGCTTTTGAATAAAATCTTTTTGTCTCTATTTTGAACATATTTTCTATGTGTAAAGTGCAAATGAGTCTCAAAGGACTGTGGTGTCAAGAATATAGCAATAAAATACCGTGTCTTATTGGCAATCCCAGTTACAGGAATGAAAAATAATGAAAGTTATGTCAAAACTCCAGAATATTTTTAAACAGATCCTCTGTTAAACATATGACATTAAAAAATTCCCTTAATATACACTGAGTAATAATGATTTAATAACTTCTTAGTTGGAACAAACAATAAGTCACTTGGGATTTTCCTTCAATTATTACAAAATTACTATATAATTATACTATATTAATTTATCACTATTGCAAACATTTCCAAAACAGCACTGAAGCCTCATTTATTTATAAAGTATTACACAGAATTTTTTTTTTTAGTTATATTAAAAATGTTATATTAGAATTTCTCAGATAATTCCAGTAATTGAAACATTGCATTTTGAAGGGGCATTGCACACACTTTTCTTTTTATCAATCAACAATGTTTTGAAATTGGCTAAGCACTGTTAACACACTTTCAAATAAAGGGAAACCTCAAAGTATAGTCCTTTTCTTAAAGTTCATATTCTGTCCTTGAGCAATACTAAAGATGACAGCACAGTAAATGTTCTCAGAACAAATGCAAAATAATTCAACAGTGCTAGAAATCTGGCCCATCTTTAGGTTTCTAATGCCTAATAAAATCAATAGCAAATGGGTATCTAAATAATTTTAAATTCTCTTCCTTCATTTAATAAAAAAATGTATAGAATAATAGTTTTCAACTTACCCTGGAAGAAACTCTGTCCCATGCTTGCTTCACCATAGCTTGATCAAGTGATAATTTACCATCTTTCCTTAATGACTGAGTTACAAGTTCAATCTGTTTCCTTTTTACCTCATATTGTACTCTGAAATGCTTAAATGACTGCACAAAGAGAAAATAAAATCAATGCAGCACAGAGTCAAAGAATGAAATCCTTCAACTTTTATGGAGTACTACAACATATGACATTTTTGTACTGATAGAAGTCCTAATCCTTCCCAAAGAGGAGTAGCAGTAAATGTGTATTTACACTAAAATGCATTTTATTAAAGGTTTGAATTGACTGTAGAAAATTCTGGGGAAATATAGGTAGGACTTTTGTATTTTCCTTCAGTTATCAGATGCCTGAACCCTATATGAAAGGAAATGATAATTGATTAGATAAACCAGCAAATGGATTAAACGTTACTTGGGACAGACAGTGGCTGTTTTTAGAAAACACCCAAGCTTCAGGAGAAAATTTAGGCCAAAATTTATATTGCCAATTTAGATATTAACCTTTGAGAGAGGGGTTAAAAATGAAGCTCAAAGCCCTGTCCTCTCCACCTGTCACCTCATCCAGCCTTCAGTCATACCTCCCATCTGAGCTATATCACGCAGGATCTGGAAGGACTGTACAAACACATGCTCGCTTCTAACTAGGACAGTCCTTCTTCACACTGCTAGAAAAAGCTCTGTGTTAGGCAAACCATCTGTGCACTGTTCTACGTAGCAAAGCTGGAGCTGACATTATAATTCCTCCACCAATAAAAGGCAAGACAATTTGTCTCCTTATTTCTTTAAACTATGGTATACCGACTTGCTTATGTACAGATTGCATAAAATACTGCAGTATGTGCTATGCATAATGATGACAATAACATCATATGTTATAAAATTTCCCCTACTGCTTACCTGGTATTTCTCCTGTAAGCTTGTTTCTGCCACCTGTGCTCGGGCTAAGTCTCTTTCAAATTGTTCTGCCCACACTTTCAGGTCTCTCAGCATCAGTCTGTCTTCCTTCTATGATTTAGTACCACACACAAAAAAACTCATTGCAGCCTTTTAGCAGAGGTGTCAGATATAGTCCAGAAATTAACATCTTTCTAGCAAGTCAAAGTCATTAGTTGCAGTGAAAGTCAACGGAACATCTGGGCTAAATTCTCTCATCACTTGTCTTCATACAATCTGACAGAAAAGCACTTCCTGACTATAAGAAAACTCAGCATTTAGACATGAGTCTTACAGTGATGAAATCATGACAATTTGGGGCACTGCAGTGTCAGAGATACTACTTGCTGTTCTCACCTGATGTTAAATTAACACAAAGTCCTTTAAACATACCTCAACAGCTAATTATAGTCTTCCACATACTTGCAGAGTCAGTTTTCAATAAAAGTTAATTGACCTGAGACAGGAGTGGATTTTATCATCTTTTACCACCACTTCATTATCTAGTCTGCTATTGCTGAAAAAAAAAAAGTTATTTCCTGAGTGACTTCAGGGCAATCCTTGACATCAAGCTCTAAGTTCAGAAGTTGGCAAAATAATTCGATAGAGAATGTTTTAACAAGGAAAACGAAAACAAATAAAGAAAACTTGACTGCATTCAGTTTCTTTTCCTTCCATGTCATTTTATGGCTTTCAAGAACAGCATATTTGTTTTACAGTTTTGCTTTAACAACTCAGTCTGTCATGGCACTGGTCCTTTTGCAAAGCTGCAAAGTTCTCTGCAGAATTCAGTGACCTGGCATAGAACAGAAAAATACTAACAGGAAATCTCAGGTCTGTGAGCACGTTATATGTGAGGGTTAGCAGACAACAGAAAGGGTTTTTTTTTTGTGCACTGTGTGAGCAAACTAATCAAGTAGGATACAAGTGTCCATCTCAGATTTCCAACCAATGAACCGCATATGCTGGCTGTTAATCAGAAGCTACTCTTTGAAACCAAAGAAGCCATATTACTGTAAAATTTGTCAGAAACGCATCTATTACAGTGAACAAATGCACCACATAATATTAGTTAATCACCTAAAATGAGCAATTAAGTTTCAAGCATTGCATGAGAGAAGAAAAACTGGACGATGTGATAAAAAAGAATAGCCACTGACTGTATTTAGGAAACCCCGCACTTTCTTTTAAGAAAAGATCCTAACCTGGGAAAGGAGCCAATTGTGGTTCCTCTCTTTGAAAGCTGCCTCACTTATCTAAAATATAACTTCCCTTATAATTTTAAAAGTTTAGAGCTATTGCTTTATTTCAGCTGTGGAAAGGATAGGATCCTCAGATAAGAAAGAAACCCTTCTTTGATATATTTCTACTAATTCTTTTACTGATCCTCTACTCAAAACCAGCAGCAGTTGCTTGGACAGAATTTGCACAACAGATTGTTCAAATACCACAGGAATGGTATCTGTTAACTCACTAGGTAAATTCTTAGCTGGGTAGTTGCAGCAAGATTAACATGATATTAGAGCATCTGTGCTGGAACAAAGTTCACTATAGCTCATGCTCCTGTCTTCTGACACTCACCAAAATCTGGGACCTGAGAAATGGTATGGGACACATACGACATTTCCCTGCTCCAGCTGTTTGTAATGCTGAGATTCCCTTGACTGCACAGTGTCCCAAGAAGCCAAAACTCCTAGTGCTTCCAACTTCTCAAATCATTTAAATATAGAGAAGGAGAATAAAATTCCTACTCTTCTAGTCTGATAGTTGGCTCTGTGTGTGGAAAAATAATGCCAAGATTCTTTGAGAAAAACAGCAAAGCCAGGACTACCCCCCTATGAGTAGAAGAATATAAGAAGAGAGAATGCTTAACTCATTCGGTCACCAAAAAAAGAACTTTCATATTAAATGCACTCCATTCATTAGAACTCATAACTTTAGCGAGACTGTTGACATCTCTATTAGTATTTAGCTGTCAGCTCCATAAAGGCAAAACTAAACTCTGCATCTTAATGGATTGAAAGTCCTATAACAATCCTACTAACTGAAACTTGAAGCAAGATACTGTTGAAGTCCGGAATAGAAAAAGTGTATCACAGTGTTGTGTATATTACTTTTAGTTCACACTATAAATTCATTTTTTGTTAAACACTGGCTTTTATTCCTCTATGGCTCATGTTCTTATTGCTGAGAAGCACTTCCTTAAGGTGAGTGGTTGCAAGAAGGGCATCTGTGTGGCTGCAGCTGTTCATACAGCAATGTGAGCAAAATAGGTATTTTGCAAGATTCCTGTCAACATAGCTTAAAAATTTAATAACGACTAAAACTGGGTCTGACCACATCTTTTTGAAATAGGATATCGCTGCGATCAAGAACATTTCTATAGTACCTGAAGATAAAGAACACAGGAACAGCCACACTTCTATTAAACCACATACCATTTCCCTGACATTAAGCGAAAAGATAAAATTAACAGGTGACATTGAGTCTTCTGTGACTTTTTTTTTTTAATTATTTAGTTAGACAATTATTTGTTAACTTTAACTGCAGAAGATTTAGGTGTTTCAGTAACTGCCTAAATGAATGCTGTTAAAGACATTGTGCAACAATGTCTAATAAGCATTTTATTTATTTATTCATACATTTTCACAGGTTTTCAGTTCAGCACATCACTTATCACCTGCAAACTTGGTTCTATGGTCCTTGGTTGGTACAAAAGCATTTTAAAGTTTCAGTTCGGGTAACTGACATGAAAGATTAGTTTTCTTAGACACTAAGGCACCTGTCACCAACATCCCCCAGGTTTAATGAGCTATCACTCTTAAAAGACAACTTTCATTAGTGCCGAGTGGTTCTTAATTTTAGTAAAAATTACCAAAAGGATATTCTTACAGATATGTAAACTATTGTCTAAAGCCTGCACCATTCTACAAATATTCACTTTTTTTCAGAGATTAATAGAACTGGAGCATTCAACTACCAAAGAACATCAAAGAAGGTAATTAGAGAAAAATGTTTATGAGTTCCAATATGATTATGGAGTACAATTTAAATTTACAAAGGAAGTTTTCAGCCCAGACTCAAAGTCAAAACATTATTTTATTAAATGATATGCCAGAGTTAATTTGAGAATTACATAATACAGAATACTTTGGGTTTTGAAGAGCTAAAAATACACATCTGTGTTTCATGAGAAATTTAATTGTGGACTGTAAAAGGAGTACTTTTTTGGGTTCTCTAATATGTAATTATACACCAGGTGAACTGTTCAAATTCTCAGAAGCAGGCAGGACAGAATTTTCAATTATGAACTTTTAAATCTAAAAAAATTAAGTCACCTTTTTTTCAGGGATGTTGAACAATTGTATTGCCTATGTGTGGAGAAAATCAAGTCCTTTAAAAATGTTTATACATGAATTCAATTAATTATGCTATTCCTTTTGAAAACTCTGGTTTACATATATGAATTACTGGATGTATACGTGTGAAACACTTTCACTGACAACAGTATCACAGATGCATGGTGAATGCTGAGCCAAGCATCATCTTCAGGGATGAGCTATTAACGCCTATCTGTAAAAGCAGACAGTAAATCACTGGAAGAGCTCAGAAAGTTATTTTTGCAGTTGCTGCTCAGGAAATTCCTCTTACATTGGGGAACTCTGCTGGCATAAAGATATTGGAGGCGACAGGATTATCTTCTGAATTACTTGCTCATCAGAGCACAGAGAAAGACTTTATACCAGAAACACTTTGAAGGAGAGTGCTTCCTCTATAGTTAAATTTATACCAAGATAAAGAAATTGACAGAGCTTTTACCACTTCAAATCTTCACTAGTTTAAGTAGCAATGCACTGGGACCATGTAAGACTAAAAATGCACAAGTCCCGTTAAAGCTGCCTAAACTTACTTGAACACATTGAGAAGATGGGAATAATTCTGCTATCAATATTAATCTGCACTTCAACACACATCACTAGTTACATATACACAATGTGAGGTGAACCCTTGATCATACTTATTTGAAAATAACTTACTACTTATATATTAAAAAAAAAAACAGCACCACACCATACCACCCCCCACCCAAAAAAAAAAAAAAAGAAGTGTGGCACCAAGATAATAAATTGGATCAGGTCAAACTATAAACACTATTGACTGACTGCAGTGATGCCTGTTATTTGTTTCATAATATATTCACTTCCGCAGTCTTCCATTTTCACCTCTGAACATTCATTTCAAGTAGTCCATGTTAGATTCCTGAACTTCTCTCATTAATACTAGATAATTATAAGTAACTAAATGTCCAAGATGATTAAAAAGGTATGTTTTTAAAAGCATCATAGTTTAAGTGAGAAAAGGAGCAGTGCATATCATGCAATTACACATGAATGCTCTCTCCTTCCAACACACAGTCCACATACATCACTTACACAAGCATATATACAATCTAGTATCTACTCTATAAACCTAAACACATACAAAAATATCCATCTACAATGAGATTAGAGGAGTAGAAACATCAATCTATAACCTATTTTTTCATGTTTATACCTTTACTTAAGAAAACCAAAAGCTTAGTCTGAGATTTATTATAGGAAAGTTGACTTGCTTTTCTATAATATCTCTGTGAAATTGTTTGCAAAATTAAGCATTAGGCTGTTAAGATCAGCTCATGTAAGAAGGTAGACTTAGACTTATTGTGTTCGTCTATTTGCTTTTTTGGAAAGATTAATGTAAAGTTAGCAAGTCAATGTACCTTACCTTAAATTTCATAAAAGAAATGACAAAAGTTGGGATTTCCTGAAGTTCCTAGCAATATGAAACAAATGGGAAAACAAGAAGAAAAAAAAAAAAAAAAAAAAAGCAAACAAAATAAAGCAAAGCAGGCAGAAAGTCCAGAGAGAACAATAAAATATTAACTGGCACTGTTACCTATGGTGATCGCAAAGGCATCTGATTCTTTTACATGGTTTTGAGAAAACTCAAAAGGGCTATTTTAAAATGAACCGATTCTACGTGTTTGGTTTGGTTTTGCATATGTTTGCATACCTAGAACAGAACTTGTGGACAACACTTCTTGAAAAATAATAAGTGAATTTTCAATCTAAATGGATTATATAGGCACACAAATATCTCGTATCTGATTCACTGCCAACTGTGCACTGAGAAAAGAAGTACTCTCTCCTTTACATTTTTTCCAGTCAATTAATTTAGCAAGGTGAATATTAGAATAACCATAGGTGCAAAAACGGATTAAAAAAAGGCACTTAAATGGCTTGTGTATTCAAGGAAGTCTGCTGCCATATTATGATTCCAAGCAGTTACTTCTATCAAAAAAGATTTCCCTTAAAGTTGCAAAGTGATAAGTTCATAAATGTTTCCGTAAGTACTAAAGAAAACAGTTCTTGCTCTTATGAATGGAAACCACTTTTCTATTTTTTTAAAGGTATTTAAATCTCTATTTTTGTATTACGCCACCTAGAAAAAATCATTCCTCTTGCATTTCAAGACGACCTCTTCTACTGTTGCTGTTTCATTTAAAAAAAATCTTAAATATATCAACTATGCTTTTAAATATTATCACAGAATTGCAAAATCATAGAATGGTTGAGGTTGAAAGGGTCCTTTGGAGGTCATCTAGTGCAAACCCCCTGCTCAAGCAGGGACATCTAGAGCCAGTTGCCCAGGACCAGGTCCAGACAGCTTTTGAATACCTCTGAGGATGGAGACACCTCTCTGGGAAACTTGTACCAGTGCTCAGTCACCCTCACAGTGAAAAAGTTTTTTCTGGTGTTCAGAGGGAACCTCCTGTGTTTCAGTTGCCTCTGGTGCAGTCCCTGGGCACTGCTGAAAAGAGCCCGGCTCCATTCTCTCTGTACCCTCCCTTCAGGTATTTACATATATTGACAAGATCCCTCTGAGCCTTCCCTTGTCCGGCCTGAGCAGCCCCAGCTTTCTCAGCCTCTCCTCATAGGAGAGATGCTCCAGTCCCTTCATCATCCTTGTGGCCCTTCATTGGACTCTCTCCAATATGTCCAGATCTCCTGTACTGAGGACCCCAGAGCTGGACACAGTGTTCCAAGTGTGTCCTCACCAGTCAGCAACATCCCTTAACCTGCTGGCAACACTATCAATTTGGATCTGCTGTAGTGACAGCCTTACTTAACCTGGTGATTTAAATGATCTTTCGCCTAATTGTCACCAACCCATATGCAATTAAGAATTTGGGTTAAAAGCAGTTGGTGAAAAACAACTCCACAAGACACTTGATTACAAAACATTTGACTGAGATTTTTTTTTTTTCAATTTTCCCTTCAAATACTGTATAAATATGGAACACAATACTTATGTCTGTATATTTTTTAACTGCATTGTTGGATTTTCAGCACTAGAATCTCTCATATGTATCATGTAAGATGAATGACACTCTTATTTTGCCAATGATTTTCTGGGTATCTTGTTTCATCTAGGTATCCTGTAGTTAACCGGAGTAACTGCATTAACTCATGGCTTCTTTCCCCTCCCCTCCAGAACTGTGTAAACTAAGGTCCCAACTTTTGTTGGAATTTGTATATGAAGTCTGCCAAATCTATCATTATGATTTTCTTGCAAACAGATCAAGTATCTTGAAATGCAAGTTCTGAGTATAAAAAATTTGATTATCTGTTGACAGATTCTCCCTGATAAGTCATAAGTAAATCAGCTTCATGCAAGATAAGCTTCTGTGATATATGACAGAAATACAAAAGTTTATAATAGTAAAAGACCAAAGTGTGCCAGAAGTTTAGCCATTTGAGACTTTATATCTATCCAGTCCCAAGCAGATGAAAGCATTGTGCTGTTTTTTCTATGCATTCCACTGCTTCAGGACCAGTGACTACCTGGGGCCCGGGACTTTTTGTGCATTGCTTACTGGCCCGGATCCATCCAGAACTTTTTCCCATCAACCTATCACATGCCACCTGGTCATCATTTTGTACCGTGACCGTAGGCGAGGGAATTGGAAGTTATGGTGGACAGCACAAGGAAGTAAGGTATAGACTGGACACAGGTGCCTGACAAGGAAGAGAATTTCTCCAGAGATGTATTAGCAGAATTTAAGCCAGAAAAAAATTGAGGGCCCCATCTCTATTCCTGACTGGAGACTCCACTGGGGAAGTGGAGTTTGTCTTGAACTGCCAGGAACTCCATCAGGGGTGTGAGAAGGAATATAGTTCTTCCTCAGGGAAACAAGGAATGATGACATTAGAAAATTAGTGTGATGTCAAACTCTTACTTTCTTCTTAAATCTGGGAGTTACCGATTTCTGCAGTGTGACATGCAGGTGACCAGCAGTTCTACCAAAATTCACCTGGATTGCTACTGCAATATCTTCGCGATATCTAGGAAGAGGAAGTTGTCTTCAGCTAAGCACGTCAAACTGATGAATTTCTGTTGTTTCACTTCCTAGTGATTCATTAGGAATTCTGGAGGCAACTCGGTAGTTTCCCTTTCACAGTTCATGTGCTGTTGTCTGTGTGGGTACAGCCAGAAGCAGGCAGAGCACGGAGTGGCTGAGCCCTGCATTCTCCTGCATCATCTCTGCATAAAGCTCAGGAGAAGGTGGTGAGGCTATTCCTCAAAATGCAGCCCCAGCACAGGCATCAGACCTGGCCGAGGCTGTTGGCAGCAGAAACTGCATCGTGTGCCATGGTATGGAGATGACAGGACTGCCTTAGGCTGCCACAGGGCACAGCATGAGGCTTCAGTGCTCACTCCCTCTGCTTCAGCAGCCTCATTGCTCAGTGGGATGCTGTGGCACAGGCATGTCCTCAGACCAACATTGCAGCAAGGACAATGAAAAATTCCAGTGCTCAGGCACTGGAATCAGAGAGCAAAGCTACAGCTGCCTCAGCCACACATAGGCATAAGGAAGGAGACTCCTTTCAAAGTTCTTCTATAGCTCTGTAGGGAATGCAAGGAAACACAGATAATAAGTGCTTCCTCCTTCTCTCTTGCTGGGGCTGAGCAGATTGTCTCAGCAGTGTTTCCTGTGCTTGCCATGAAGAAAGCAAGTGATCAGGATTAGGAAGTGAGTCACGATCACTTGGCATCACTGAGTATAGCCATTCTAGTGCAAAGCCAATGCACTAGAGCATACACAAAACAGAAAAAAAAAAAAAACCAAACCAAGAAAAAACCCCACATGACTAAAAACAATTCCTTAGAGTGAATAGTCAAACACCACTGCACAATAGAAAGAAACCTGTGCCTAAATTGTAACTGCTACCTCAGCCTAAAAGCCTAAAGACTATACCTAAGCAATCTCTTGGGCTATTGTTCTTATCCAGAAACCCAGTGTGATAGAAACAGAAGTGACGCATTGCTTCAGGTAACAAATTATTGCCATGTCGTTGGTGTTATGCTTGAAAACCTCTTGGGGAACTTTAGGATCTATTAGTTTGCTACTATCTACAATAACTGCTTGTGTTCTTTTTGTCTCCTACTGCTGAAAACAGGAAAATCTCTGCAGGATCACCGTTGTATTTTCTCCATCCACTAGTAAACATCTGCAACACCGATTCCTTTATTCTCAGATAATCTTTCCCAGTTTTCTTATTGTGCTTGTTTTTCACTTGAACTGCTCATCAAAAGGAAACATAATAAACTATAAGAGAGCTATAAAATGCATTTATAAAGCCCCCCTCATGATAAACTGATTCGCACAGTTACGCAAGAGAAACTTACATCATTCTCCTGCACATCAGTCACTGTATGATGAGGGTCAGGATAGTACTTCAAAAACTGGGCTACATAGGTCATGACAGACTTTTCATCTGGCTTGTCAACATCCACATCTAGACAAGTATAGAACATGGTAAATTAATTTTTAGACGAATGGACAAAATGCTTCTTAAATGTCTAAACACTGTGAATAAGCACATCTGATTTAACCCATGCAAGTAGTTCAAACCTTTTTCCAACTATGAATCAGGTACCTTCTGGATCAAGGAGCCTTGGAATGCCTAGTTCTGCTTCTGCAAGTGTGAAGGCTTCTTCCAGGTTTTCTCTATTTGACCTTCCCCTCACTTTCTCCATGTCCACTAAATCTGGGCGGATAGCATGAATAACGGAATGAAATGCAACACCACTCCTCCAACTTTGTCCAAAGTCTTTGATTTCAATTCCAACTTGCCTAAAGAATATGAAAGAAAAAAGTGGCTTGCAACAACATCGGGACTAGATGAAACAGGGGAGGAGGCAGGATGCTCCACCCAGTGGCTACCCATCATTAAACCTAAAACACTTATTGTTCCTTCAATGCTAATCAGGTCGACTACAACTCCATTCATCCACCGCATAAATTCATTTCTGCCTATGAAGATCCAAGAGTTTTTTGTCATATGTGTACTGTATTTGTCTCCAGTGGGCTTGCTAGAGGCAGTAAGTCAATGGTATTTTGAACAAATGAAGTGCACCAAGGCTCTCAACATTCTTGTACCACGCACAGAGTCTGTGGATTGTCTCCCTCACTATAAAACACTTCATATCTCCCTCCATTATAACTACTGCAGTTCAGTTAGGTATTACTAAAAAAAACAAACAAACAAACAAAAAAAACTAAACCAAAACCAACCCTGCACTAATCTGTTATCTTTTAAAATGAAAGCATGAACAGTGACATCATTGCTGTTCAGGTGAAAATGTAACACAGATTTCTTTACATTCTTACCAAGAGCATGAGTGATATTATAGTTCCATACACCCAGAACACTCACATGTTCACTAAAACATAAACACAAACGATCAAGAAATAGCAATATACAATGAGAAAGTAGTCAGAACTGAATCACACTTCTGACTGCTTCTTTTAAAGTAATTCTGAAGTGTGGCCCACAGACTGCAAGACTTTTTTACTTTGAGCATGCAAACTTCCTTTGAGGACATACTTAGACACTGAGGTACTTCACAGCAACAGTAACTCTGAATGAAGGCTTCTCTCAAAGCTCCAAGTGACCACTGAAACACTTTCACTGACTTTAATGAGCTAGCCCTTGCAAATTACACTGTGAAGCAGGGCTACGCAAAGTATACCATCCTTCTTCTAATCTTCTTTCCACACTTTTCACCCACTCTTCCCAATAATGTTGACAGTTTCATTTTCATTTAAGAACAGTTTCATTTATGTTTGTATTTTGTTCATTTACATGTCTGGAACTTACTGACAACGGTGCAATAGGAAGAATGTCAAACTAGACTGTACTGCGCTATAAATTACTGTATTCTACCTATTTTTTGGAGAACTGGAGAAAGTCTGTATCTTTACAATTATATTTCTTTTCTCTCAGGCACCATCCCATAACTGGCCATTTTCCCTCCATGTTTTGCACGACTGATCTCTTTAAATAGCAGTGATTCCATAATTTGAACAAATAAATGCATTTTGTTCTTTTAGATCTTTGATTTTTATTTTCTTATTGTGGAAGCCATCAAACTACTATTGTATCTTGACGTAATTTATGCCTTTTTTTTAATGTCTTTTTGGAAGCAGAGCAAATATGGGATAATTATAACAAATACAGGTGAAGATTCTTAAGTTAACAAGAGATAGCAAGAAATAAATCCAAAATAACATGGATATAGAAGGATGGATATTCGGGGCATTTTTTGGTAGTAATGTGTCCCTGGTATCACAGAACTGCAGAAGTATATTCATAATTTTTCATCACCTGCCTTTCAACAGCAAGTGCCAGAATTTAGTACTTCTACAAGCTTTGTCACCAGGGAATGCTAAATTGGTGTGGGACTTACATTGTCACATCAAGTATTTTGGCAGAAGGACTAATACAGTGCCATTCAGACACCTAATTCCCCTTTCAGTTCCTCATTCTGTCAAAGATAATCCCATTCATTATTTGGAAACTATAAAATATGATTGCTTGTATAATTAATGCACATCATTGTTTACTACTTGCTTGCTGTATGGTGGTAACATTTAGCAGCCTCCATTGTCAAAAAGAGTATGATCATGGGGAGGTGCTACATAAATACAGAGCAAAAGGACAATCCCTGACTGAGAGAGTTTAGAATCTGAAGACAAAATTTGCACTTAAGATATAAATTCATTTCACTTGTAGGTTACTTACTTTGCTGCTGTGTACTGTATCCATTTTAACAAAGCCTTCCTGGCGCTTCCTTGGACCTTGGTTACCACCTTCCGTTTGCTTGGGGGACTCGCAGTTTCTGAACTGACAACACTCTCCACAGAAGAAGCACTGCTAGACAACGACTGCAGCTGTGGGAGGTTGCTGGTAAGCTCTTCAATCTGCGGGGAAAAAATGTCAATGGACTGTTTGTAGATAACCTTCTTAATTTTCACCAGTTTCTTAAATAATTTCATAAGACAACCAACAAAATGAAGTTGGGCAGAAGCTATGATGAACATACCATATTTTATTTAACTGTACATTAAAGTAGATTCAAAAACTGCTAATGTATGTGCCCAGACAATGGTCTTAAGTTCAGAAGTACAAGGCATGTAGCAATCATTTACTTTCTTGACACCCTACAGCTAGAACAATACGCAAGTGTGTTGTGTTATCTAGTATGAAAATTACCCTTGAAATCGGAGACAGTGGCTTATAGAACCATCCTCTAATTTCAGAGGAGGATCACTTAATTAAAGAATGGAAGTGACCTCAATGATCTCATCTGGATAGTTCTTTATTTACCATGGTACTGTTTTGGCACAAATTCAATTGTGGCTTTGCTTAGAGGTACCTTGTGAAGGAAGTGAGTGTACTGCAGGCAAAGTGCATTAGTAGTGCTCGCCGAGGGTGTATGGCAGTTATTTGCATCAAGCCTTTCATCAAATGAAAATCATTAACTTCACTCTTTTGAGAACGTCAAGTTCACTAACAATTTGGGTCTTTAACATAAAAAAAGGTTATATCCAGAGGATGTTGCACAATTGTCTATGCTGTCCACTTAAAAAACAAAGTTTTGTCTCATCACAGAATGAGTCTGCCACAATGCTAACAACAGTTCTCATGCATTTCTGCTGTCATTCATGTTAAAATAATGTATCTGCCTGTGACAACTAAATAAAAGCTCAAAAAATGACCCAAGTAAAACTGAAGCAGAGAACTTGAGTGTCAATAAGTCTGATAAGCATAATTTTCCCCATTCATCTCAATGAGCTATAAATTAAAACAAAACTTTTTAATTGTAGACCCAGGGAACTACGGGCCAGTCACTTTCACCTCTGTGCCTGGACAAGATCATGGAGCAGATCCTCCTGGAAATTCTGCTGAGGCACATAGAGACCAAGGAGGTGATTGGTGACAGCCAGCATGGCTTCACCAAGGGCAAGTCATGCCTGACAAATTTGGTGGCCTTCTATGAAGGGGTTACAGTGGCAGTGGAGAAGGGAAGATCAACGGATGTCATCTACCTGGACATGTGCAAAGCATTTCACACCATCCCACACGATATCCTGGTCTCTAAATTGAAGAGACATGGATTCACCAAACGGACCACTCCGTGGATAAAGAACTGGCTGGATAGTTGCACTCAAAGAGTTGCGGTCAATGGCTCGATGTCCAAGTGGAGAGCAGTGATGAGTGGCGTTCCTCAGGGATCGGTACTGGGACCTGTACTGCTCAACATCTTTGTTGTGGATGTGGACAGTGGGGTCAAGTGCACCCTCAGCAAGTTTGCTGACGACACCAAGCTGTTTGGCGAGGCAGACACGCTGGAGGGGAGGGATGCCATCCAGAGGGACCTGGACAGGCTGGAGAGGTGGGCCCAAGCCAACCTCATGCAGTTCAACAAGGCCAAGTACGAGGTCCTGCATCTGGGTCAGGGCAATCCCAAGCACAAATACAGGCTCGGTGGGGAATGGCTGGAGAGCAGCCCTGAGGAGAAGGACCTGGGGATATTGGTAGATGAAAAGTTGGACATGGGCCAGCAATGTGCAATCCCAGCCTAGAAGGCCAACCGTATCCTGGGCTGCATCAAAAGAAGTGTGGCCAGCAGGTCAAGGGAGCTGATTCTTCCTCTCTACTCCACTCTCCTGAGACCCCACCTGGAGTATTGCATCCAGCTCTGGAGCCCCCAACATAAGAAGGACATGGACCTGCTGGAGCATGTCCAGAGGAGAGCCATGAGTATGATCCGAGGGCTGGAGCACCTCTCCTATGAGGACAGGCTGAGAGAGTTGGGGCTGTTCAGCCTGGAGAAGAGAAGGCTCCGGGGAGATCTTATTGTGACCTTCCAGTACCTAAAGGGGGCCTACAGGAGAGCTGGGGAAGGACGTTTTACTAGGGCATGTAGCGACAGGACTAGGGGGAATGGCTTTAAACTGGAAGAGGGCAGGTTTAGATTAAGCATTAGGAGGAAGTTTTTCACTTTGAGGGTGGTAAGGCACTGGAACAGGTTGCCCAGAGAGATTGTTGAGGACCCTCCCTGTAGGTGTTCAAGGCCAGGCTGGACATGGCCTTGGGCAACCTGGTCTAGTGGGAGGTGTCCCTGCCTATGGCAGGGGGGTTGGAATTCGATGAACTTCAAGGTCCTTTCCAACCTAATCCATTCTATGAGTCTAATAAAATATATTAATACTATTCTGGTAATTTTTTTCTGAGAAGATCTGAACCATTGAGTCATGACACTGGTTGGTGCTTAGGAGAACAGTATCTCTGAGCCACATTAAAAGAGAGCCAAAGCCAAAAAACTACATAAAGAAAAGCAACAAAATCCATTATTTTTTTAAATTGTTGAGCGGTGACTCATTTTGTTAACTCATATGGACAGGATTTATGAAACCATTTTTCCCTCCCACCTAACTTCAACAGAATGCAAATGATTTCTCCTCTACAAATTCAAACCCCTCTCCATCTACGCAATTCACAGCTAAATTTTGTCCTTGCAAATATCGCACGTCCCAGTGAAATCAGCATGTTTATATGTATTGTCTGAAAAGAATTACTGTCTGACATCATATGCACTGGAATTAAACATACAGCTCAATCACCAGTGAGGTTGTTAAAGGTACTCGTGTTGTAGTAAAATTGACATTAACTAGAAAAATGAAATGTAAAATGTAATTGAAGCAATCAAGGAAACCTGCTGCTGCTTAAGTCCTCTATACTGCCCCAACCCTATTTAATTATTTACCTAATATTAAAATAGAGAAATGATTTATCTACGATTTATTTAAAATAGAGAAATGATTTATCTACCATTATCTAGACATGATTTATCTACGATTCAGTTAAGGAACTAACCACCAGACAATGTAGCTTTGTTGATAAGTAGGGTATTCCTGTCAAGAGAGTGATAAACTGTAGGCCTGGTCAGCAAGCTGAGAAAATCACTTGGAACTGCCAAGATCAGAGAAGTAGGTAAAAGGTAATTTCAGCAGGGGGAGATTGGGACCGCTGACTCATTGACCACCTATCCAAATGACACCACTTATTCAAAAGAGAACAATGGAACAAGAAGACAGAGTCCGTGTACTCATCTACATAGGAAACGAAGAAGTCTTGACCAATCATTAAAGAGAATAAAAATGAATATGTATTAATTGTTTGAATATGTAATAATCAATGTATAAAAGTGGAGATTTCTGAAACTAAGGCATGCTCCCACTTTGGGACAAGAACCCCATTTCTGTGCATTGATGGCATAAACTTGGAATTTCCTCTGCTTTGCGTGTTATCGGTTTGCACACTGGGCAAAGAACCCAGATTTGGGACAACACTTGTACCAAGAATCCACAATTCTATTCTTTTGTTGCTCTCCTGTATTCTTCAGAGAAAGTGGAATAATATGTTCCAGTGATGGAGGAACTCTATTCCAGGCCCAGACCACTCTAATTCAAAGACAAGTATCTAATTTTACCCAATGTGACGTATCCCTACCATCAACTGTTGCTTTATTGAGGGTCAGATCCTTAGCTAATTATAAAGTTACTTAGCTATGGAGAAAGGCTGGCACTAGACCAGTTCATATGAAATGATGATCTGAACCATTATTTGAGCAAGCTACACTGAAGAACAAAAAATGTGGTACCTGAAAATACAAAATTATGGTCCACACCAAGCCGAGCACTATAGAAGGCCTGCCATCAGCAATATCAGTTGAATTTATGTTGACAAGTTTAATCTATATAGGAAAGAAAACATGTGTTACTCCCACACACAAGAGAAGATAACAATTATGAAGTGCATTTCAAATAGATTTTATATTTTTAATGCATTTTTGCAATCAAATAACAAGTTTCTTAATTAAAAAAAAATCACTGAATGGTGCAATTTTACTTGTAGAAAAAATATTTAATTTCAAGTAGAAAGAACAATAAAAATTACATAGAACCATTGTACAAACCGGAGATCCTCTGTATATGGACTAGCATGAAAAACAAAGGGAAAAAGATGATACAAAAATAAGTTTTAAATGCTAAACTATTAGGTAAATGCATTGATTTAATTTTATAACACAAAGAAAGCATATTTTTGGCACATCTTACAACACAATAAGGAAAGCAAATTAAATAGTCTGTAACATTTTGAATTATGCAGGGGTTTCTTGCTATAGTTCCAATAGATTTGGAATGGAAAGAGAAAAGCAAGTTTAAGAATAAACTAGAAAATGAAGGGAAGGGGGCAGGGAGAAAGGATAAAAGAAAGATAAGGGAAAAAAGAATGCCACAGTTCTCCAGTAGAGAGATCTTTTTTGTAAAGGATATTACCACCTCTGATTAAAGCTCCCTTGCAAGACAAACCTGACTGTAGTCCTTTTAAAAGAAAAGAGTAGGTGCGAATGAGGTGCCCAAGGTCACATGCAGTTTATCAACAGAAAGAGGAACAGATTCCATGACTCTTAACTCCCAAATGCTAATCTATAGTCTGAATACAGTATCACCCTAAAATAAACTCATAAGACAAAAGGCAGTAAAGGAGGGGATAAAGAGTATAACATAAAAGAAATTAGCAGATAGATAATGCTAAAGGAAATGGAATAAAACAGGTAGTATTGGAAAACAGCAAATATGTTAATACTTCGTTCCTCAGCAAAACTAAGTCTGCCATCAATCATGGTATAAATATGAAGGGCTGCTAAAGTGTTCATGCACTGCAACCTTGTTCATAGACAAAGGTTACGGAAAAACCTTGGGTTTAGGTTAAAGAAAAGCAGGAAAATTACTTCAGGTGACCTCATTTGTCTCCCTAAAACAGAAAAAAAAAGACTGTAGCTCTCTGAAGGAGCAGCTGGAAATGGACTGGATAATGTCAAGAGCAACCAAAAATTAGTTGTTCAGGGCTGCGAAGATCTTTTCAGAATTAAAACTCCACAAGCTGCTTGGGAAGAGGCAGAGGAGAAATCCCCACAGGTTATATTTCCAGTCCTCTCCACCAAGAAATCTGACAAAACTCTGGAAAAATTGACATTGCTTGCCTCTCTATCAGTCAATAAGGAAAATTTTCTATTACCTATCTAAGAAAAAATATTCCACGAATCTCATTCTTTCAGCTGACCAATTCTAACAAAAGCTTTTCTTTTTCTAGAAAGCGAGGTTTTTCTTATACGTATTATAGATCAAAAAATTTACAGGGACTCAGCTAAAGCTTCTGATTAGGCTACTGTTCACAGAAGCGCAACCTACCTAGTCTAGTTATTGTGTTATCTTTGTCTTATATTCTATCAAAATTGATCTAAAACTACAAAATAAACTTTTCAGAACCACGAAAAAAACCAGGTTGGGCCTGAATGGTATCTGTCAATTGTCATCTGCATTTTGCAGTATAACAGGGGTATTTGCAGAAATCCATTTGGACAGACTGAAAATAGGAAGCTGACTAATACCTGTAATAAACTTTACTTATGGGAGAGCCCACGGAGAAAGGAGACTCTTTCAGCACACCCCAAAGTGCTGCGCGCAGCCACCTGTCTCCCTTTGTTCTCCTTTGAGTGCAGACCAGAGACTGCACTCAGCTGCTGAGGTGGCATTTGTTGTCTGAACAGCATCTCTGCCTCCTCTGGGAGGAAAAGGGTGACAGACTGGATAGAAGCATCCTTCAGGCTGGATTCAGCCTAGAGACCACCTGCTAATGTGCACCAATCTACCTGACACACTGCATATTTCCAACTCCCTCTAGAAGGAAATCTGGCATATTGATACAAAGTACATTAAAAAAAAAAATCAAGACATGTCCAGACAAAAATACTCAGATATCATAAGCAAAAACACAGTGTGCCATTTCTGGCAAACTATCTTGATCCTCATCCGGATCAGTTATCTCGTTGCACTGCTATATTATTTCTGGGATCTCAGCTGGGTCATTCAAAGTTCAGGTCACCCACTACATTGTGACATGTAAATGAGGGCAGCATGGTTTTTTGCTTGTCATCCCACCCTTGGCTTAGGTTATACAGGTCTCACCACAAAGCAGCTCTCTGTATCTAAGCTTCAACTCTCAGGTTCCACATGATATGGTTTGTATTAACAAACTGTGCAACATAAACTAGTGAAATGGTGAGCTAAATCTGAATTTTGTGTTGGGAATATATTTGTCTTTGCTTTGATTATATATTTTCAATTCAAAAAAGTTCTCTTATAGATTTCTTTCTACAGGGATCTGGTACGACTGTTTCCTCTGTAACAGAAATATAATTAGGCGAATATGCCAAAGGGTTAAAGAGAGGGAAAGAATCCCAAAACCCAACAACTCCTGGTGTACAATACTGTAGAGACATAAAATTCATCAGGTGTTACATCTGCATTAAGAAAAATTGAATTAAAATGCAGAAATTAGAAGAACAAACTATCTGCAATCTAATTAAAAAACAGATACAAGTCATTACAATACAGAGAGAAAAGTCAGGGAAAAGGTAGAAGTAGATTGCTTTTATTTGATATTCATACCTAGATCACACTGAGCTTTTAGGTTTTCTGTCTTTTGTTAAATTTATAATTTTTTTTTTTCATTTCTAAAATGGCCACAGCACTGATTTTACCAGAATCAACCCGGGAATTAGTCTGAAGTCCTGCAAAGCTAATAAGGGGTCACACTGTTCTACATTTTCATATCTGTAATTTCAGGGAGAAGAGTTTTGTATGTACAACTTAGTGAAGTCCATAAATCTATTCTTTAATTATAAATGAATGCCTGTAGAACTGAAGATCATTGTTCTTTGCTGAGAACAGCAACAAGAAAGTAGGAAACATGAGGAGCCGGAGAATACATAGAAAAGAAAAAGGAAGGACATCATCCAAGGTGATTCTAACTTAAAAAAAAAAAAAAAAAAAAAAAAAGAAAAGTTTTACCCTATACATTGTTACCTACTAGTGTAGGATCTTGTCATTTTTACTTTACAGCAGCTTTTCGATACTGTGTAGAAACTGAAGACTGCATACATAGCTCAAATTTTGGAGAATAAGAACAGGTAGGTGGATACAAATCATACATTTATGGAAAGAAATAAAAAAAGACAGAAAAATCAGGACTAAGTGCAACCAAACATACCCGTCTTCCTTCTAGAAACTTAAGAGCTGTACCAATGTTGGCAACCCAGTGAATTCTCTTCAGCTGCCGTCCCTGCTCACAAGGCTTAAAGAGAAAGAACAGCATAAACTCCAATTAGATTTATGCCACTTTGCTGCAAAAAACAAAGTTCCAAATTATTATAAATGCCTATGTAAGTACCATAGTCTGATTTACATGTAAAAACGTTCTTTGGAACAGCTGAATTGTATCTTTGCATGTACCAACAGGGAGGACTGACAGATATAGGGGATGTAAATGTGATAGTTCTATTATAAAAAAGTTACATATGTCTTAATAACCTCAGAATGCAAGCTTTCAGCTTCAGCCCATAAACTTCATCAAATCAGAGAACTGTTTTTCTTATGTAAAATAAACTATTTTTATACACACGTCTATATGTACTTGAGAGAAAGTAACATTCTCTTAGGAAAATATTTTTGCCTGCAAAGGAGAAGTCAAGGTGGTTGTTATTTTTAAAAATCAGTCTGCAGTGAAGACATTTTACCTAGAGGATTTTTATCCATTCTCTCTAATACTTTATTGGTGATTAAAAAACCCAACTATCACAAACCCTCATTGAACAATGAATTTTGTTGAACCTCAGACATGTAGTCTAAAAAAAAGACAGAATCCTTTGAACTAAATCAAGAACCTATCCTAGCTTTCTAATACTCTACAGTGGAATTAAATTCCCCGCTGAATCTTATATTGTAATGCAAATATAAACCTACTATCATTTAAATTTGTGTTCACAAAGTTACAAAAGGATTTAACAAAGGCTGCCTATAGATTCCCGAAATTCCTCTTGCAGTTACTACAGAATATCATATTCTGCTATACATGACCTTTAAATTAACCAGACATTATTCTGGTTCTGGTCTTTCACTAATTAATGTAGGCAGGATACAATCCAATGAAGTTCATTGTAACAGGTGTCGTCATTAATTTTTTTTCTGTATTACTACTTCTGTTTTGCCACAAGAGGGAGACTTTCTGTCTTAGAAGAACAGAAACGAGTGTATTTCAACACAGCAGAAACACACTTGGAAGTATATCTTTTTTTACCGTCCTACAGTAAAATCACTCTTGCAATCTGAATTACTACCGAATTTTGGTTATCATCTGCAACCAAAACAGACGTGAAATATGAAAAAGGGGCAAAAGTGTGGCACTTGCCAATTGCCAGCCCGTGCAGGAACAGGTAATGCCTGAACCCTACAGCAAGCCACACGATAGACTGTCGATCTACTATTTCAGATGCTGCCACCTGATCTAAAAGCTGCTTTGGAAAAACTGAAAGCCCTTGGCCTAAAACCCTTCTGGTTTTCTCCCACATCACATGGACAAAACTAGTGTGGCTCCCAAGAGACAGCCTATTTGCCATGTACACACCGTGGCATCTGTACACAACCTGGCTGTGAAAAAGTCTTTTGGCATCAGTTAAGGACCTTTACAGTTGCAGAGCAGCTGTCAAGGTAAATGGATGTAAAAGCCCATGAAATTTGAGGGGTTCACCAATTTTTTTCAGAGAGAAAGCTGTAAATTTAACAAGAAAATACTATACTTATTTTTTCAAGATGTATCGAAATACCTTGCAGTTTAGACCTTGTTTGTGTCATAGTAGTAACACCCAGATGAACTGCAAAGACTAATATAAATAAGCAATTTTCATGAACTAATAAGACAAAATTAATAGAAAATGCATAAAAACAAGAATGTCAGTCTGTAATCATAATTTTGAGGGTTTTCTAACCAGGTAGCCCACTCTGTAAATAAGCTTATTTTACTCTATATCAGTCATTTTTTAATGGTATTCAAACATAGAAACGTATTAGAAAACTAATTCTTAGAGAAGTTATGCAACTATCACATATACTGAGAAGGAAGGAAGTTCTTACCAGCTTCTGCCCTGAAAGAACCTCCAAAAGGGCAATTAGCATTACCCCATCTTTGATATCTTCAAACAGATCGTTCACCATCATGGGAGGATTGCGCTGAAAAGGAGAAGACTTCAAACATTATAAGGGCTCACCAGCATCCCATCCTACCTCCCTTCTTTTCAAACAGAAGCACAAAGACTGGCTGGTCCCTTTCTTTACATTTTATAATGTTTAATATCAATGTATCATTTAACCATTACTTTGACACCATGTTTTTTAACTACTTAACATTTCTGGCACAGGATTGTAACACTAGATGCTTCCTGCCACTGATACAATGGAAAAACCTCCTGCTCCCTAAAACAAGCAACGAAACACACCAACAACTGCCCATGAGTCTACAAAATACACACAACTTACAGATGTACCATTACAGCCACATTTCACTCTAGCAGCGTATTTTGCCTGGTGTTAAGTATGTCACAGAAATTTCACACTCGCTCTGAGCAGCACAAGGAGCCGTATGAATGAAAGATCCCTAAATCAGAGTGGCTGGTTGAGCAGCCCTGCCACTTTCGCACAGCTGACAGTTGTTACGCTAAGTCACTGTAGTTTCTCTCCTCTCCTCCTGGCCTTGTAGGCTTCCAGTGCTGTTAGCACCGTGTCAGCTTTTACTTCAGACAAATTGCTTAGCATATGTCTTTACATTCACAAATGCAACAATGATGACACTGAAAAATATATAAACAGATGATTTTTTAGGAATTTCAAACAACAAGGTCACATCATTAAACTCTGTCTTCTTAAATACATCCCAGTTTGTGGAACTACAGCTCTCAGCTGATCAGGACTTCACTGATTACAAGATGTCTCTTAGAAACATCAAGTTTAAACTTGGTTCAGCTGAAATAAACAAAATAAACACCCTCTAGCTTCCATGAGCTTGTCAGCATTCATATACTTGCTAATTATCATAATATTAATATTCATATCTGCTAATTCACTATAATGACAACCAGACTACAAAATTCTTGAAATTAGTTCAAGTTTAATAATTTACTTTTGGGGTACTTCTGAAACAAAACATGCTTGCACAACAACTTGATCTATTACTTCTGTTCTGTAGAAACATAGATTTGAAAAGATGAACCTAACAAATGAAACACTGCTCTTGGAAAGCTAAAAATGCTATGACAAATCAGGAGAAAGCAAAGTTTTCTAGTTCCCAGAATCAAAACATCCTGCCTTCATTGTCAGCTTGGATGAACTACTATTTCAAGGAGACATAATTTTGGCATAAAGTGGAAAAAGAACCCCTCTACTGAAAGCAGGCTTCATCTGAGATTTGACATGCTCTAATAGCCACAATAACAAGAATCTATTTTCTCATGTATATAAAATAAAGCAGTGTTACAACTCATTATGAGGGCATATTTATCATGTTCTTCCTTAATATAACACCAAAGAAATCAATGCAGCAAACAGGTCACTGGAGAGGCAATTTGTCCCAGTCTTTCATCACAAGCAGTTGACATAAATGCAATTAATTTTCCTCACCTTCTAAATTAGAATTTCCTCTTTGAAGTTTGGAGCAGCTTTGGTTTTATCAGTATTACTACATGATATAATACTGAAGAATTTTCTGCTAAAATAATTCAGCAATAAAGACAAGAGGATTATAGCAGCTGACATCCTAATCCAACAGGAGGTGAAGGCCTAAAAGATCTCACCACCTATCTAAATGCCCCAGTTGTGAGGTTTGTCTCTTGAAGCTCACTCTACAGTAATGAAGAGAGACACGTTCTTCTAGAGGGCAATTTAGGACAGATTTAGATTGAAGGGTGAGATTTACAGTGCCTCATAACCCTGGTGCCCATAATGTGCCTGTCAGATGACCTGTTTGAGTGCAACACCCCTCCATTCCAGCTTGACTGGTTTGGTATCCTTACTCTCAAGTCCAGGGTACAGGCCAGAATTTGTCTCATCCCGACATGAATCAAAAGTCATCTGGAATTCATATGCAAACTGAGTCTGGGAAGCACCTGTGGTTTCCACAGCATATAGCTTCACACTATAGATACAACCTCTGACTGCTCATGTCAAGCTCTTGCTCTGAACCACAACCTTCACTGGTGGCTCCTCACCAGCAGTAGTTACGAAAACTAGATTTGCACACTAACTGAGACATGACACAAAGGCAAGGCAGTGAAAGAAGACATCATCCAATTAAATTAACACCTACAGTACTTTCCTTTCGGCATGAATCAAATATAGGTTTGGGGAAAACTAAGCAAAGTATGAGAAAGCATCGAACAAGATGAGAAGCAGCAAAGAAACCATCAAAGGAATTACACCAAAGTTAATAAGACCTGCTGCTATCGAGTGTGAGAATCACGATTGTCCATAAATCAGCAGACTGAAGTGTATTTTTCGTTGCTGGAAAGTTGCATAATTACAAACACTGCCAGCATTTAGCAGCACACACTATGTACCTTAACACCAATAAAACAGGAAGAGAAGGCAAGTACAACAGCTGTGTCACAAGATCTCCTGTATGAGACTCCTCTAATATGGGAAATTTCTTAATTATACAGACTGCCAAAAATGTTCTGCATAATACGCTTTATAATATAATGTTTTTCACGACCCTGAAGATACTAATGCATTATTACAATGAGGTAACACCTTCACTGTGTTTCATAAACCACTTTTTTTGTTTTTTCTACTCTAGGCACATAGCATAGAATTTACCTTATTGTTACGACTCCAGTCTCTCTCACAAGTATGGAACGAGTTATATTTTTAGTGGCATATATAGAAGGACAGATTCTTCTTTTACATAAGGATTCCATAGATATCAATCTTACTCCCCATGCTGTGATACAATTCAGGAAGGTATACATACACTAGCTGATACTGAGTTCATGCACCCGTATTTATTGTATATGCACCATCGCACTGGATGGCTCAAACTACTCAACTGTTTTTCCAGGCAGATCCTCTACTAAGATTAACACGACATCTTCTGTTGGAATAGATAAATAGCTGCTCCTTGACTGCATACATAATGTCAAAGAAATGAAAGGAGAAAGTGAAACTGTACAATGCTTACTTATTAGCTTCCAGAGAAGAAAGTTTTTTTTAAAAGCTGTATTCAGTTAAAATCTATTGAATACTTTCTACTCCAGAGATTCAAAAGGACTTAACACCTATTCACTTAGTTGCCTTAATGCACTGCCAAAATACTAACTGCAAATCAGTAAAAGTAGGGAAAAAATTCTAACTTAAAATTTTGTAATCTTGAAAATGTTGAATGTGCTCCAGGTTTTGGCTTTTTGCGTATAAATATATAGCTCAAGCAATGTAATCAACTGTAACGATCCTAATACACTATATTTTGAACATTGGAAACTCTGTGCAAAGAATTTAATGCAGTACTTTTTAAACCAGGAAAAAAAGAATATTTAAAGAGTATGTGAAGTACCCTCTCAAAATACTATAATATTAAATAAAAGATGTTACTTATAAGCTTGAACAAAATTCTTTGGGGGAACTCAAAATATACTTTGATGAACAATCGGACATTAAATCTACAACTTGACAGGTGTACACCAAGGTCCTGTCAAACCAGGACACTTAGTCTTTGATTTTGTTTTTTTCGTAACTTTCTTCGAGGAATCAAAATAGCAAAATAATACTAATGATATCTTACATACTGCATTACATGTATTCTATTAAACACTCATTTATTGCATTATATGCAATCATGGTAGTGTAGTTTATAGTGACAATGATATTTAGGAACAGTCATGTCACAAAGAGAGAGGCACACTCAATACAAGTAAATTCATATGCTCTGTGGGAGGAATATGAATTCAGTGGGAATGAATCTTAAAGGTTAATGAAACAGATTTTTCCCATATTAAATATTTATTAAAATAACTGTATTTAGAATTGATCACAAAGAGCAACTGATGAGGAAATGCTTTGCATAAACTCGTTGCTCTTGCAAACTACTTAATTTACTGTAGTATTCAGGAAATACTTTGAATTATTTAAAGAACTGAACATCGGTACATATGAAAAGTATCTGACTGACAAGCCTCAATAAAAGAGATTCATAATAGACCTGCAAACTCTAGACATTCCTCTTCTGACACAATAAAGTAATTTTGTAAAATCCAAACCTCTGATACGGAACCAAAGTATACTGGTAAGCTTCATTCTTCTATTCCAACACTTTTTCTTGCATATAATTTCTCATTTGCATCTTTGCTACCGGAATCTTTTACTCACACCCTGCACTTAACTTCTCTAATGACTAAATCATACTATACAAACAACAGGAACTGCATCATAATGGATGCCAATGCAAACATTGGAAACTGCCTTTGCTACATCAATTTTCAAATAATGTTTCAAAAACTGCTGAAAAAAATGTGTCAAAACCTATCCGCATGCACAAAAAAGAACAAATCTGTGTAACTACTGAATTTGTCTCTGCAGGGAAATACATGTGGGAATGGAAGGAGAATGTGAAATTTCAATTACTCCGTAATAGCTGGCCCACTCCTCCACCCCAATTTAATTCCTAAATCCTTAAGCACATAGGTTTTCATGTTCCCTGCTGTTAATGACTATTTTTATGACTAAAGTCTGAGGGACTCAGCCCTAACTTTTACATTATTTGTTTTGTCCCACAAATTAATATAGCGTTCACTGTTTAATATTAGAGATTACATGCAATACTAGTGCAAACATATAGTGACTACTGGCAAAAAAAAGTCCCAGGCAGATTTTCCTCATCCTGCAGTCGAGATGGACACTAGCTTAATTTTTTTCTGTGTCAGTGACTAAGATACTGGGAGCCTCTGATTTCCCATTTGAAAAAGACAAAAAGACACAGACTTACTTAGTTCATTGATGAAAAAGGAAGAGGTTCTTGCATGAAGACCAAGTTACATTCTAAGAACAAACTACCATCACTGACAGCACTGTGTGTGAGCACTGTATATTTGATATACCCATTTCTTTTTCTAGCTTTCTTTGCTATAAAACATATCACTTTGCAATTTCAAAAGCCTTAATGTAAGTTTTAATGC